GTGGGCCACTAGCTTGTGCGGGCCACTAACTTGTGGATTACGTTAATTTACATATGTTATTCAGCAAGCCAAGCTCGTGGCTGTAAGCGTGTGGCTAATCGGCGCCTTAATACCCCACCTTATATATCCAGTTAGGTACTATTAGCCTAGGCACGTGATTTGCCACGGTACAAGAAGGTAATTTAGTTAGGGTCTCTACTAGCTGGATTTATTACATAATCTCTTCCTAAATAAGTACTTAAAGTATAAAAGATATATAGCTAAATAGATTATCCGCTGCATATAAATATCCTAAGTATAACAGGGGAGGCTAAAATCAAGGCTCAGCTAAGTTGCCGCGTTTCTTAAGATAGTCCTGTGAACCTCCTATACCGCGCAAGGCCACTCTGTCTATGCATTCAATATAACACAACCTAGTGCGATAATTGCCTTTAGAAACTGCAACCGCGGCTTTCAGGCGGGCATTATTAACAGCCCTGTTTACTATTATCCACCGCCTGGTAGGTTAAACAACGGCCAATACTTAACTGCGCTAACAGCTATCCCACACCAGAGCGAGCAGAAACCCCGCTGAGCCCTTCCTGCGCCGTCCCCTTTTGCTGTGACCCGGACTTTGTTAATCGCGGAACGCTGCTCGATTAGATACACAAAACGTGCTCCGCGCCGGCATCTCGCATAGCGCTGGTGGGCCTGGGCGGTGTGGGGTAAGCTAAAAGGACACTTGGGCCAGTGCTTGCACCTAACGTAAGCATAGGAAGTCGCAGCTTGCTATTAAGTACTGCTATCGAGCCGTGGATTAATCGCCGGAAACGTGGGTGTTCTGGGTGCACGCCAGCAATACGGCCCGCATTAAACAAGGCTACCGAGACATCGCGGACCAAGTTAAGCTGGCTGGCCGTAAAGACCTATAAGCGGATATATTTAAGCTAGTCCACAACTAGCTCCGCAATAAAATAAACGGAAGGTGGCTGCTAGTCCTTAATAATACTAATAATACCGCTGCTCTCTCTTTACTAGTAAGTAATAGACAGAAAATATAAGCAAGCGGCGGAGATAGCGCTCCCCTATATTACTTCTTATTATACCTACTCTAGAGTAAAAACAGCTCGGTTCTAGTTACTAGTTAGATAAAAAGCGTAGTGTTGCAGCTAGTAGAGGAAAGAGATATTATACCTATTAAGCCTATAGATAACGCCGGCGCGCAAGCTCTTCTATAGAAGAAATTAGAAGAAAAAGTTAATAAAAACAGTACTACTAAGCTAGCAAACGCCCTTAAATTTATACTACTTACTTTTACGCAGGCGGTAGTATATATCTAATAATAAGTACTAAAGTATTTAGTATAGTAGTACCTAAAGCAGTTCTATAAAAGTAATAGAAAGAAGATAAGCCTATTAAACTATAATAGAGGCTGTTTTTAAAAAGATAATAAGGCTAAGAATTCTATTTTTATAATATAGCAAATCTTATTTAATTATATACTTAAGGTAAAGCGGTTAGCAGCAAACCTATTATTATTAATAAGCTTTTTTAACTAGCAGGGGATTCCTAAAACACTTATTTATAATTAAGTATTATAACCTGTAATACGAACAACCCGAGCGCAGAGGCACTTGCGGAGATAAGTAAGTAGATAAGACTAATTATATAGAACTAGGTTATAGGACTAAAAGGGTTATATATAGAATATATAGGGATCCTAGATTCCCCTATAAACTGCTAGTAAACGGGAATAATCTAAGAATAGGATATTATAAGAACAGGGTTATATAATAGCTTATTAGGCTCGTAGAGAAAAGTAAGTATAGAGCTAAATAAGCGCTTATCGGGCTTAAGGCGCTTAAGGGCTGCGAGCTCTAAGAGCAGAATAAGTAAAAGGTTTCTTAGAATAGAGCTTTCGTATAAAGGGACGCTCCTTTATATAGATAGAAACCTTATATTTAACTTAAAACTTTAATACTACCTATTAGAAGTAATAACCCCGTTTTAGACCTTAATTAATTATTACCTTACCTTTTAAAGACTATTACACCCTAATAATAACTTGCCTATACCCTGCCTTAGTATAAAACACTTAGAAGGTATAGAAAAAACAACCTATTATACTTTAAACACCGCTATATTAAAGGAGTTATATATAGACGATTAATTAAAATAGCCCTACTAACCCTTTTAGGTAGTATAACTACTAAACTAACCCTAACTATAACTAAGGTAGTAATACGTATACAGGCATTACTTATATAAATATAAATACTAGAAGAAGCTAGTAATACTAAGGATAAAGAAATTACGGCCCTATAGAGAAATTTCTAGACTATTTAAGGGGAGCTTACTACTATTAGAGTAGTTAGCTATAGAGGTTATAAAATAAATAAGCCCGAAAAGTTTACTAGGGAGAAAGAAGCTTTATAAGCGTTTATAACGCAGATAAGGCTATACCTGCGCACGAACTAAAGCAACTTTAAATTTAAATTAGATAAGGTCTATATAGCAGCTACCTTCTTAAAAAAAGAAGTATTTAACTAGTTTAACCTAATACTTATAAACTAGCTCGGCAACGCCGACGCAGATAATCGAAAACTAGAAACTAATATTATATTTAGCAACTACAGATACTTTAAGTTAGCACTTTAGATAACTTTTAGAGACACTAATAAAGAACGGACAGCGGAATAGAAAATAGCAGTTCTAAAGCAGAAGGGCTTAACTAGCCGCTATACTTTAGAATTTATATAAATCGCGTCTAAGCTATTATAGGAAGATAAAGCTCTATAAGTATAATACTATAGAGGTCTTAAAGAAAATATTAAGAATAAAATTATATAAGGTAAAAGGCCTTTAACACTCTATAAACTTAAGGAAATAGCAATATAAATCGACAGTTAATAGTATAAACAACAACTAGAACGGGTAGATAAAAGAGGACTTTGTTTTTACGCCCAACTAGCTAGACTAAAGCTAAGAATAACTAACCGCGACTACGGAAATTGTATAAAAATCGATATTATAAAATAACGCAATAACTAAAAGGGTAAACCAATTACTAATAAAGAAAGGTAAGAGAAAAAACGCAACAGCGCATGCCTATTATACGGAGAATAGGGATACTTCGCGAATAAGTGCTCTAGGAACACCTAAATAGCAGCTATTATAATAAAGCTAAGTATAGACCGCTATAATTCTATATTATAGACCGCGTGCTATAATAATAACTACTTTACCTATTAGTTAGATAAATAGGTAATAGGGTACTATCTAATATAGAGGATAAGGGGATATACTATTACTATAATAAGAAATAAAAAGTATAATAGCAACCCTATAGACGACTACTACGCAGACGTAAAAGTTAAAAGTATAGAGATTAACTACCTATTAGAAACGGATAAAGCGTTCTAGATAATTAAACCCTAATTAGAACCCTAAACTAACGTACCTAAGCTACTAGATAATAGCGAGGCCGAGTTACTAAACACGGAAGTATAGGTTAACAGAGTTATAGCTATATATAAGCAAAGCGCAAGAGAAATTCTTACACGCCTTAATAAAGGATAAAAAGTATAAAAAGCCGAAAACGCTACAGCGGGCGCAGAGCTAAAAGAACCAGCTAGTTACTAATTTCTAAAAGCTATAGAAAGAGTTACTAGATAACTTATTAAGGAAAAAAGTGCGAAAATAGCCGCTACTAGACTAATAACAACTACTATTAACGCAGAAACACGCGTAAGGTTAGATATACTAGAAGGCAAGAGTATAAATATCTAGAATAAACTAAATAACAAATTACCTATTAAGGATAGTAAGAAATACTATAATAGTAATAAAGACCGTAAACTAGAAAACTAGTCTAGTAATAGCAAATTTAGTATAGGGCTAGAGTAAAAGCCGCTAGAGCTATATAGAAGGTAAACTAAAATTAAAATCTATAAAGCTTTATACCCTATTAGTAAAATAGGCGTCTATAATAAGGAAGATAAATAGCTGGATAGAAACCACCTACTTTATAGATAGATATTTTAGGTATTTTATATTAAGGATAAATACAACGAGTATATAATATATAAGAAATATTAAGAATAGTACCTATATTAGATAAAATATTATATTATTACGCAACTAGTACTATTTAAGAAAATAGAGCACTATATTATAGGTAAGAAGAACGAACTTATAAAAGTAGCTACTATAGTTACAGACCCTTAGTACCTAATAAAATATAGGAAAGGTAAAAACTGGCGGATATACTACTAGGACTTATATCTAGTATATTACAAAATAAAACACGCGAATTATTAGCTATAAAAATAGCTAAAAAACGAGCAGGCGCTTAAGTAATAGAATAGCTAGAGTAGCTAAGAATAAGGTTCTATAGAGCAGCTAAGAATAAAGGAACGTAAACCGCAACTATTACTACTTTAGTAGGAAAAGCCTATATTATAGAAAAAAAAAGAAACCCGGTAATATAGCCTAACTCTATTCCTATTTAGAACTATAGATATATAATCCTATTAGTTAAAATTAATAGAAACCCGGCGAGAGCACTGCTAAATAGTAGCGCGTAAGGAAATTTTATATCCTATAACTTTATTAAAAGAAACTAAATCCCTTAGTAATAGAAAAACAGACCCTATAGACTATATATAGTAGATAGTATACCTATATAATATAGTAATAGGTAAGTAACTATAGAAACCTAACTAGGTATTATATAGATTAAGGAATATAGAGAAACTATTAGTATAGATATAACTAATACAGTAAAATATAATATAATCTTAGGTATACTATAGCTAAGGCAGTATAACCCCTAAGTTAATTAGAAGTCTAGTAAAGTAAGGATTTAATCGGAAAGCGGACTAAAAACCACCCTATACTAGAATAAGCCTAAGTAAAAACAAAATATTAATATAGATACCTTAAAAGGCAAAAAGGCCTAAAAAAAAGATAGGGCAGCAAGCTAATAGTAGCCTAGACCCCTAAGCAGCCGGCAGCTAGCTAAGGCAGTAAAAGCACTAAATATACTAGAAGAATATAATAAATTTAAAGGAATTTTTATAGAAAAGGTCTAGAATATATTACTAAAGCACTAACCTTAGGATTACTATATTCCCCTAGTACTAGGCAAATAACCGCAGTTTAGACCAATCTATTTACTAGCCTAGAATAAGCTAGAAGTGCTGGAAAAATACCTAGAAAAGAACCTAAAGTAAGGATTTATTAGACTATTAGAATCGCCCGCAGGTTACCCTATAATATTCGTCCTAAAGGTAAATAGTAAGCTACGCCTTTATATAGACTATAGATAACTAAATAAGATTATAATTAAAAACCGCTATCTATTACCTTTAATTTCCGAACTTAAAAACTAACTATATAAGGTAAAGTACTTTATAAAGTTAGACCTATATAAAGAATACTATTTAATTTAGATAAGAAAAAAAGAAAAGTAGAAAACAGCTTTTAGAACTTAATATAGATACTTTAAGTATATAGTAATGCTGTTTAGGCTTACTAACGCGCTAGTAATATTCTAGGTAGTAGTTAACTTAGCGTTAAGGGGCTACTTAGATCGGTTTATAGTAGTATACCTCGATAATATCTTTATATACTTAGAAACGCTAAGCGAATATAAAATACACGTGCGAAAAGTACTTAAAAAACTTAAAAAATATAACCTTATAGTAAACCCGGATAAGTGCAAGTTCTATAGGCAGAAAGTCGGATTCCTAGAATACGTTATTAGTTTAGAACAGATTAAAATAGAAGAAGGTAAGGTGTTCTTTATCTAAAAATAGCTAGAGCCCGCAAATTTAAAGGAACTATAGTTATTTCTAGGGTTAGCTAATTACTATAGGCAGTTTATTAAGGGCTACTCGAAAATTATAGAGCTACTTATAGAACTTACTAGAAAAAATATTAAATATAGATAGACCCTAAAAGTATAGGGTGTATTTAATAGGTTAAAAGCACGGTTTACTTCGAAACCAGTATTAGCAATCTTTAACCTATAGAAACTAGTTACTATTAAAAGCAATACGTTAGATAAGGCAGTAAAAGCAATACTTAACTAATTAGATAAATAAGGGAAACTGTATCCTATAGCGTTCTACTTATAGAAGCTAAGTATAGCTAAGCTAAACTATAATATCTATAATAAGGAACTATTAGCTATAATAGAAGTATTTAAATAGTAAAGAATCAGACGGCAAGCCTGCATCAGGAAATGGATGTACCCCGTTCGGGCAATCCGCGCCTCGCTTACGGCTTTCGCGCTACGCTCGACCCGGCAATCGACCTCAACGTCCGCCATAAAAGGCCTCCCTTCGCCGTCATTTTCCCTCCCTCTCTCCTCATCCTTTTCTCTCTACTCTTATCCCTCCACCCGCAACCCCTTTGCACAGCCCTCGTCTTCGCCAGCCGCCCCATGCGCACATGCAAGCCGTACCCACTTCCCTCAATTTCCATGTCTCAGACTGATGATAGCGCAGCGCCTTTCGGGCACTCCGACAGCGAATTCCTCCCTCACACTCTCATCGTCACGATGGACGAAACGTCCGTTTCCTACTCTCGCCGCTAGAATCACAATAGCCGTTCGTCCCTCCTTGCTGCCGCTCGATCCCGGGAGACTCCCATTCAGGCTTGCCGGCATTCACGATACTCGAAGGCGTCCCCGCCCCGTACTCAGGCCACTCCTTCGCCTCCAGAGAGCCAGTATCCGTAGCCGCCGATCCACAGGATCCACGGGAACTGCCACGTCAGCACGGCTGCCTGCTTCGTGTTCTCGACAGTTTTCATCCCAAAGCGACACCGCCCCCTCAGTCCCCTCGACGCTGCAAGCTCCCTCGTATCTCCAAATAACCCCTGGCCACCTTGCGTTTCATTCTATTTCAGCCGGCGACCGTGCTTGATCATGCAGGCGTCACTTCTGCCGAATGGGCTATATGCTATTGGCCCCGGACTCGCCGTGTCTCGCAGCTTATCAGCTCCAGCTGCTCCACAGACCGTAATTAGTCCGCTGCTGGACCTCTGCTGCATGGGGCTGTGCTAGGCACCACTCAATCGGCAGATGGACGTCACTCCTGATCCTCCGGATCAATGTGGCACACGCATGTGCATGGTCCGCGCAAACTTTGCGAACGTCAGCGAGCGCGACGAATCACCGGCATGGCTGCGGAGGCTTCTGCTCTCACCGGAGCATTGCCCACCTCAGAGGCAGCGCTTAGCAAGCATCACGCGACATCCTACGTATCCCCTCATGCAGTCCCCTAGGGCGTTTCGCTCACCATGCATGCTACAACCATGGTAGCACCGGGAACGACATGGCTGAGGATATGCCCCCTGGACCAGGCGGAGTTGTCTCACAACGCGCGTCCCCTTCGCCTCACTCCGCCTTTGCCATTTGCTTTCCGTTTCATTCTGGTCGGTCTCGGCTCGGCGTCACCGCAGGTCGGCAATCATGCAGAATCGCAGCTTGTAGAGAGCCGGGAGGGAACAGTTCACGAGGAATCAAACGGCCGCAGGCTCGCAGAGTACAGAGGGCAGCAGTGCTTTGAGCGGGACAGAACGCTGACGTTGCTTAGGCGGCATTGGCTTCGACAGCAACAGTTCACGGCACAGCCCTCACATGCCAACGCTACAAAGGATGGCCTCGCCAGGATCAAACGGGAACCCCGAAGGCGCACTAGGCTCGCTCCGCATCCTGCTAGCATCCTGCTGATTAGAGGCGCTCGTCCGCGTCCGCCAACACACTCTGTGACCAAGTGATTCGCGGTCGGGAGTTCCAGTAGGCTGCAGTCCCCCACCAACATTGCATGAAAGACGCCTTCGGACCCTAGGCGCATGCACTCGCCAGATGCCGCACCGCGACTCGGTGACAGTCCTTCCGGGGAGTGTCATCTTTTGGGGCGCATGAAGTGTACGTGGCTCATCCGCTCGCATTCGCCAGACACAGCAAGGAACGGTTGTTGAGCTCAGGAGAACATCGACAGCAGAGCGAGACGATGGCCATCCCCATCAAGGGCCATCGGCCCACCCCCCCAACCAGTCACGGCATGGCACTGTCAGACACGGCACGAATTGTCTGATGCAGCGCAGTGGGTCGTTGCAGGTCACTCGCTCACCGCCACCAACAGATGCGGCATAGGACTGCATGCATGAAGTCACGGAACATCTGATGACCACCTGTTTCGGTACATCGGACACGACACGGATCATCCGATACAGCGCAGAGGGTCGTAGCACTCCCTGAGGGTGTTGGTCTAGCCCTGACTCAACAAATGATGGCAGAGGGTTTGCTCCGCCGCCAACCCCCTGATGAAAGGTTTGGCATCACGATGGTGTCAGCTGGAATGTGGCAGGCCGGATAGACGGATATGACTCGACCATAGCTTCCTAATGGCGCTGATCAGGCGGCAAGCTGAAGCCCTTGCAATTCATGCATCACGTACGTTGATTTGCTGAGAATTCTGGGGTGTCTTTCGAAGGCTAATTCTGCACAAGAAGGCTGTGCACGAAGAGAGGACCTTATAAGCCCTGGCATTTCCCTCGCCCAAGGCTTGCCAGAAAGGCACGAGGCAACAGCGACTCCAACGGCGCAACGACTGCAGAATGGCGACAGCGACGATGGCAACTTCTCAACGCGTTTTCCGTATACCTCTAGAGATTTCACTTGATAAAATCAATTCCTACACCTGCCCTCCTAAAAAGCCGGCTGCGATTCTGCATGATTGCCGATCTGCGGTGACACCGAGCAGCAAATCTGAGAAGGAGAGGCCTCTTTCGCCGACAATGCGGGCAGCAAAGGCGCAAGGGTTGCTTTACTCAGGCACGTTACAATATCCCAATCTTGAATTCATACACTAACAGAGAACCTGCAGATGGGGAGGACGAAGAACATCCGGTAGTCATCGAGGATGATGGGTCCGATTCGGACTCGGAAGCTGAGGGAAGCGAAGCTGATAGGGAAGGTCCTGAGCTAGGTACGCACTTCGCCTTTAATGCGATGGTCTCGTCTAACGACCAACAGGTAATGGAGACGACAGTAGCGATGATGAGCTACCTACGCTGGAGGAACTACTCCGACGCCCATCTCCCAACACCAATACCGAATTTGCGGCGCCGGACGGGATGGATGATCCAGCTAAGCGCATGAGTGCTACGGCTGTCTTACAGTCTAGGCAGGCGCTCGGGACGTGCGTGGCCGCCGATCAAGAGTCTTTAAGAGTTAATAAAGAAGAGAGCCTCAGTGAGTACCAGACGCTGCTGTAACAGCAATCTCAAACTGACAAATGTAGACAATTCACCGGCCAATGGGGAGAGTAATCGCAAGAAGGCGAACACAGTAGGCGATCTGTTACCGACCCCAAACAAGCGGAAGCTCGATCAGCTTAGTCCACCCAACGATATCGATTATAATTCCGATGATTCTGCCAAAGACGGCACCGAGGGCCTGCGGCCCCAGAAGCAACAAAAACAACCCAACTCACACAATGGCTCCCCAATAGATCGCGATACTCCATCGCTGCACGATAGGACTGGTCACAATTCCGGTAACAATAACGGTCGAATTGTCAGCAACGGCAGCAGCAACGGCGCCGACACCTCGGACCTATCTCGAAGCGACCTCCTTGATTTACAGAATGGCGGCGATGGCGAACACCTGTCTAGGCCCAGAACAGACAGCGTGACTCGGTCTGGCTCCCCGCAAACATCGTCTCCAAGAGCGAAGGCTAGAGATGGACTCAGCGCCAACACCGCTTACCAGATAGCCGATGTTACTCTTTACCCTGTGCCAAAGGCCTTGTCGATTGTTACAGCAATTGTCCGTTGCAATGAGTCGAAATTGCCTCTAGACCTGAGAGAGCTTGGCACCAGCATTCTCGGAGAGAAAGGTCAAATCATCCGGATAACCCAGGTATCGCAGGATTCATGGTTGTTATTGGGATGCCGATATGATGATGGTGCATCAGACTCGCATCCTCGTCGAAGCTGGGCGATGCTCAGTGCAGACCAGAAGAGCAATCCTCACAGCGATGCTGCGAATTATGACGCTAACCATGCAGACAACCACATGGGCGAAGAGGACGAGGACGAGGATGCAGACGAAGACACAACGGAATACAGACCTCATGCTATAGGCACTGATCCGAGGTTCAACAGAGGCGATATGCGCTTCCGCAAACGAACGCGCGTTCCGTGGTTGGAGTCGGACGACCAGCGGTTACTCGCGTACAGGAATAATATGGCCATGGAGTGGAAGGATATATTTGAACTCTTCCCAGATCGGACCCCAGGCGCAGTACGGATGCGCTGGCACACGCTTCAAAAGAAATGATCCATCGCTACGACAAAATCAGTATATGTACCCCCTCTCCTTGGCGATGCTGCCCAAGCCATGTTATATTATACGGCTATTGCTCGGCCGCGTCGCATCGGACCTGCTTCTACGACTTTCAGGGCTGGACGCGCGGCTCGGATTTTCGCAAGTCCTAGGGCGATTCCACGTTGTGGTGAAGGGGTAATGTTGCCATGTCGGAGGGTGTAGATAGGTACTACCCGCCGTGAGATATCTCCAGCGAGCTCGGGTACTCACATCCGCAAACATAGTTAAACTACTACGCTCGCCACGTCAAACACTCATCCGCATACGCAAGAGACGCTCGGAACCTCTCCACCATCACTATGATAATCTTCTAGCGGCAACAACTCTGACAGAGAAACAAGCGTTTTCTGCGAGCGCGCCCAAGTCAAAGCCTTTGATACTCCCGAACTCCAACACTGGAAGGACGTGAAAGTCAGGAGAGTGAGTCGCTCAAAGCATCGATTGCCTGTACCTTCAGGAACGCTCTGCCTCTTGAACAGCGTTTATCTTACGAGACCACTCCGAGGACCTGTAACGTACGCTTCGTTGAGGAGAATTCGAGGTGAAAAGAGCCAAGACCGGCTCTCCTATTACCGGACAGCAGCCCCTGCTCATAAACGACAGTGCATCTCTATGCTTGCAATTATTCGATCCGCCCCGGGTTGATATTGAAGAATGGTTTCTGTCGCGAATCTCGTACAGACTCCATCCCACCTTGAGAATGGTATTCCAGTGATGCCTTCCAAGATCAAGCTTTTTCCAACTGGCTGCTCTTCGCATATAGCGGGTTGGGGTAAAGAGAATGGTCACCAACGCCTTTGGCTCTCAATCGATTTGATAAGTGTCGATTCGTCTGAAGACTGACCAACGCACTCGCGCCCTAAGGGCCCAGTTGACTCAATCCTCCTTGGACTCCATTTGAACTTGCGAAAGGTTATCAAGTAAGAGTAGCACCTTTGTTCAGCGCTTATTTCATGATGTCGGCCAAATTCCCACGTCTTAAATCTTTCAAGGGGCTGCGCTGAAGTTTCGCGAACCTGAAGCTGGTTTCGAGAGGCTTGATGTAGCTTATTGGTAGAACAAAGTATTCAAAATCGCATCGCACTTGGGCTTCTCTTTTGATTTGAATCATTGTGACGACCAAAGTGAACCGGGAAGTTTCAACGCAGCCACGCAGAGCCCCAGCTGATGAGCTACTTCAATAGGAAGAGCTTATATCTTTCGCGATTATAGTAGGGCGATTAGTCTTTTGTACGTAGAAACTCCTATCCGCTTATCATCTATGTTCACTAATGTGTCTGCATTTGATTTTGCTTTTACGTCTGCTCTTTTGCGTCTCGCGGAAAGGTCGGCCTGTGCCCCGCATATCGCTCCAATTTGGGACCAATAATGTGCTATTTGCAGCCGCGGATTTCCTCCCTATTTGCGGGGCAGCGCCATCCAGGCCCTGAGGTCGCTAACCCTTATTACCTCGGCAATGACGGCAATGACGGAACACCCACACAAGGCGGGCAGAAGAGGTGGCGAAACGAGGAATACATGCTTCGGCGCCATAATCCTATCGCGCACAAGTCCGGCAGCGAATGACAACCAGCCAATTAGCGCTCGTTTGCTGGCACAGATGGCAGTACGCTCGGCATTAGTGCGAGCGAACAAGCGCTAATTGGCTAGTTGTCATTCTCCGCAGAAGTGCACAGTTAAACTCATAGTAAAAAGTAAGGTAATTAGTTACTCTTAAAAGGTGGCCGCCTAGGGCGGCGTATTGATAGTTGAATCATTGCTCGGGAGGAGCATCCGGGGTTTGAATGTAGAGGTCGCGAAAATAATCCGGGCTTAGAGTAGACTAGCGTAGACAAGCAACTTCTGGAAAAAAAAGATTGCTGGGTGAAGTGGCGGTGGTGGTGCAGGTGTCTAGTTCTCTGCCACGGCGGTCTTCTCACGTGATGTTGAGCTTACCATTTGCGGGCCCTTGGTGTTTGCATTGCGCTTATGTGAGTCAGCACGCCAGCACCACCCGCTTCCTACGACCACCCGCTTCCTACGGCCACCCGCTTCCTGCGATCACTCACTTCCCACGACCACCCACTTCCTGCGATCACCCGGTTCCCACAGATTATGAGGCGAGAGGACGCTATGGCTTCGCCTTTAATTGGCCGTTTAAGCCGTCCAGTACGGTTTCTTATCCGTACTCGCCCAGTCCAGCTTGAGAAGATTCACCCTTCCGTTGACAAGGCTGACACCGAGTTACTCGAGCAATTCTGGACTCAAATATCCGGGAGGACCGACACAACTGAAATTTGCCATTTGATTACAAAGATTTCAGACAGGAAGGGTTCGGATCGAGTGGACATTGTTTTTGACTACGGTGTGCCTTTAGATGCGGACGGACCTAATGTTATGGCTTTTGATGTGAAATGCAGCGATTCACGTTTGATAGTCAAGCGACTGGCCAGTCCAGCCATATCGCCAAAGGTGAACGAGACGGTGAAGTGGTGGAGAGAGATAAATCTCGAACATAATATCAGTTTTCCAAGTCGAACAGATGTTCGGAGAAAGGGACGTGCTTAGGAACCAGCTTGAGATATAAACATAATCGCAGATGCGGATTTATTCAAGATACCTTTTGGCAAATGCGCAGAACTCTGATCTCAATTATCGCTTGCTGACGAGCTTGGTGGTGTCTCCGCTAAACAACCACAGTGCCCAGGCCTCCGTGGCCTCTCCACCCAGTGCACATTCGGACATCCGTACGGATCCTGAATATCCTTATCACACTTCGTAGGAAGATCGCAGTCTGCACATCCACATTGGTGCCATCGTAAGGTTTTTATTTCACACATGGTGCCCTCCCTGCTCAAGCCTGTTCACTCATCCGGTAAGCATCACATTTGAGAAATTCTCCGATTTTTGAACTTACCTTACTTGAAATAGGAGTACGACTTTGGGCTCGTAGGTTTACAATGCTGGACGAAGGTGTTCGTAGCACTTTATCCTCGGGATTATAGTAAAGGAGCACCTTGTAAACGTGTCGTGAGTGCAGAACGCCTGACTAGTATTTGGGTGCCAGCTTGGAGTGAGGGTGTATACGGCCTTTATATCATTTCTAAAACTGCCCGGCATAGATGTGTTAGCACCACCAACACTGCTTTCAGGAAAATGCATGCAAATATTGGGACTGTTCCACTTTCAGATTTGGTGAGGCGTACGTCCATGGACCATCCCAATGCAGACGTCACCGGTGAGACGTACGCCTGCCCCGCGCTGATAGGAATTCGCTCCACAGTAGCCGGAGCTGCAGCTGCATCCATGTGTTGCTCTACAGCATGCCGCAAACGGCATCCTCTCGAACAGGAACCAGCTGTGGTTGGTGTAAGGCGCGCATGCCATATAAAAGACTAGGGAGATTACTCGCGTACCGTCTCGCCTGGATCTTTACCGTTTAGCTGGCGTTCAAGGCAGCAGGCAACAGGCTTGGCAGAACTTCAGTTGGGGCATTTTCAGCCGGGAGCTTGTCTGGGCCCTAGAAGGAGCCGGAACAGGCTACTTAGGGCATGCTCACGCTGCTCCAGTTGCTCCGGTGAGCTGCCTGAGCCGAGGGTTGCGTCCCTTTGATGCCCGCGCCTAAACCTATATTGTACTAGGTCTATCATGGCAACTAGGGTATTCTTAGTTACATGGATGAGATATAAGACCAGATCCCGGCCACCCCGCACCGGCCGCACCCTTGTAATCTTTCGCCATACCTAGACTCCAGCGTTCGTATGTGAGGATCGAACCACACACGGCTTTTGCACATCCAAGATGTGGTCGCGTTGCCTATTGCTCCATGTAGGCGCAGTTTTGGCCCTACAGGCTTAGTTGTTTACAAGCGTCAATGCAAGTGCTAAAGTGCTGCACTATCTTGCTTAGATATTAACTATGCTACAAACTTAATGTTCAGCCTCATCCTGAATTTTCACTAAGTCACGTGTTCGATATTAAGCCCCATCAGGCTTATGCCGTAATGTACCCGTACGGAAGTTATTTAAGAGCAGTATATTTAACTAGTCGGTATACCAATACAAATTGGCAGAATTAGGACTGTTATAGATGCGTACCAAGTAGCTTATATCTGTACTGGTACAAAGAGTTGGCCTTTAGGAATAGTATATTCAATCAAAGATTAGAGCCGGTACGACTCACATACCAGTACAAATTCGGCAGAATCCGGGCTAGTACGAGATGCGTGTTGAGCAAGTGATTGTGTCTTCATTAATTGTCTGGCTATGGATGGGCGGGGTGCCTCATATATGTATCCATTCTCATCCCTTATCACATTGTTTCAGCCACCATTAACCGTGACATTCAACAGGTCCGTCACTCGTACTAGTCCGTCGCGTGTACCGAGACTTGCTCACGCATTAAGACTCAGCCTGCATTTGGCATGGAAACGTGAGGTAGCGCCCATGATGCAGACTCGGATCCAGACCGGGTTAAAAGGCAGGCAGATACGAAGGGTGCTTCCCGGCCACAACCTTGGATCGCGTAAATTGCGATGAGGTCGGCTGCGTGGATCGTCCGGTGTTTGGTGGAGCCGATGCCGGCCTGTCAGCTGAGGGCAAGCGAAAGCGGGTAGTGCCAAACTGTTGGGAATTTCTAAAAACTAACTATTTAACGCCCCCACCGCCCTGTTTCTGAGACCTCTCTCGCAAGTTTCTGGAAACTAAACTACCGACCGGTCGCCAGCTTCTGGAAGACGAAAATTCAAAAAACACTTTAACGGCGGCCATCTCCGAAGATGGCAACTAAACTGACACAAGGCGCTCACGCTATCTCAACGCTGATGGAACAGACTAAAAGGTTCGATGCGATGTCGGTGTATCTCTCGAAGTCGGCGGATCTCGCGACGAGTCAAGCTAACGAGATTGCTACATGGGTTTCGAAATTGATCGATGCTGTGACCAAGATCCAACGAGAGACCCAAAGCGCTGCTGCAGCGTGTCGAGAACGCGTACAAGTTGAAATTCACACGCTCAAGACCCAGGCAGACTCAACCAAGCGAAAGATACTAGATACCACCGAATTGGATTCATCACGGACTGTTAAGGCGAACTTCAGGTTGATATTCGGACCGCCAAGAGAGGCAGAGTACAAAAGCAGAAGCACTAAATCTGTGATGGCCACGAACCTCCTCAGGATTGGTACTATCCGTGGTTTGTGTGAAAGCCACCCTCATGGTGTGATCGCCCTGTCAACAAGTTACCCAACCAAAGTCTGGACTGAATCTAGCTTGGAAGTTTTCGATGGCCTCATCAAGCTAGTGAAAGAAGAGGAAGAGCAGGATTGGCCTGAGGACATAGTCGACATTATGGACGAATTGGAAATGGAAAGACCAATGTGTGATGAGTTTAGGAATCTTCGTGGTATGATAACTTCCACGTGAATTCCCAGTGTCCTCACTGACCAGTGAGTAGCAAAGATCTCCCAGCGTAGGGAGCAACGCCGTCGGAGGATGGATGACTCCGACGGACCCGCACCAGAGATTCAAGCATCGCTAGTGCAGACTGGCGAATTGACTACTCAGACTCCATCTATTCAATATGCCTCCGGGACAAGTATGTGACATTCATCTTATAAATGTTAGCAACACTGACCTCAAAATAGCTCAGTTGCCAAATCTACACCAAATGGCACTTCCCGCGCCATCCTTAAATAGTGGTATATATTAAACCTCCTCTGCATTTGGTCAAGACTAATTAGCGACAGATCAAACGCAGGATCGGAATTACAGGCAAACTGTTATCACTAATAGTGATGGCACCTTCGTTCACGAACAGCGGCAACAGCCACCACTTTGCGAGAGTCATCACTCATTACTGCGATATGAGCAACAGAGGCTGGCAGCAGTTGATTCATTACCACCATTCGGGGAAAACAGGGGTGAGGGGAAACTTTGAATATGTACAAGGCACTGCTAACAATCTATCAACAGAAATGAAGGATATGTACACAAATGCACCCGCTAGCGACATAGTAAAAATGCCCGAGCCATTCAGAACAGCCGTCCAGAATAGCCGGCTATGGAACTGGGAAAGAAGCGAAAATATGGAGACGACAGGATGCTGGCCAAGTTTATTTCCGAAGGATAACAGACAGGATGTCTCCTTTACCATCTGGTGTGGCAACGACGACGGATACCGTCTAACCAAGTTCTTCGGGGGACAAATAGAAATCTCCTCCTAGACTTCGAAATATACGCTAGCAGCTCTGACGTAAACAGCATAGCCGGCTGGCACCGTATAATCCTTATGTTCGGTTGTAGAGGGCGAGTTGACTATATGCTTTTCGTAATGTTCTGTTTGCTTGTTGTAGATGGAAAGATAGTAGCCTTTGAACCATATCTTCCTTTCGTTGGTGGGGTCTGGAGGGAAATTATGGAGCTGGATCGTTTCATCGGTTCCAGCAAGAGCTTCGTCGCCTATCTACATAGGTACACATATGTCAGCTATAAGTAGTTTAAGGGTGTAAATGAAATTTAAAATGTCTGACCGCCATAATCACAATAAAGTGTGCTGAAGATCCTGCCTGCTCGTGGGTGCGACCCCGATGAACGTGACTATCGCCTATACAATATAAGTCGCTGCGCGGACAGTATGTTTGATGGAGAGGCTCATACTGGTATTTACCTTGGCTGTGGAGAATGTGGTTGCGCCTTTTGTGAGACAGTAGAATGCAAAAGCCGAGGTTGAGTCTCCAGTATTTTAATGCACCCTCTTCGTCCTTAATAGAATACGCTAAGTGCGACGTGTGGAATGCGGTAGGGCAACGGTGCGCGGCGCAAGGGAGGAATGAATCGAATCGTGTACTAGAGCCGCTACTACAGAGTAGAAAGTATTAGTATAGAGGCTAGAGAGGACGAGAGTAACCTAGTTATTACTCAACTTGCGCAGACGAGATGTCAGAAGAGGGCTGCGGCTGTATGCGCAAAGCCGAATAGTGAAACCAGAGAACCTAAGGTGTGCGGTGTGCGGCGTGCGTGAGGGTGATCGCGAAGGAGGCAGGGCTAGAAGCGCAAAGAAGAGGTGGGTGTGAGCCTCGAGACACAGAGAGGCTTCGTGCCTGTTAATGAACTGCAGCACCGACGCTCAGCGAAGTGGAGTGGAAGTAAAGACTTGCGGGGACGTGAAAAAGGTCGATTCGATCCTCGAGCGTTGGTGCCTGACGACAAATTTCATCGAGGAAATCACAAGCGGCTGCCTTTTCGCAGTCCAGGCAGAATCCGCACACGATGTATGAACCAGGAAGATGAAATGCGACTTGTTGCGCTCCCGTCAACTCCCGAAGCCCACCGAGTATGGCGTTGGATTGCGAAGCAAGCTCTCCTAACAGCGGATGTCCAGAGGACGCGATTCGATCGGCCGGCCGTTGTACTAAGGGGAGGGTACCAGAATTGCTCACAAGTCTCGTGCCAACCGAAGAGTATGCAGCAGAAGAAAGCCTGCATATACCTCTATTTGCGGTATAAATTGGGGTCAGAGACATATGGCTGAGGTAATTTTCGATTACGTCGGCGCCCAACATCAAACGGGTCACGAGGAGGGGTAGACCTCGTCCAGTCCAACCGGAAGCGATGTCGCGCATTCTGCATTAGTGCCCGACCTTCCATGCCGCCGTCACATGCTGAACTATGGAAACGTGGCTGGCCAGAAGACCTCCATGCGAATTCCCTCTTGCGATACACGCTTGGGGCGGTTCGTTAAAGTTTAACAGTCGAATTCAAGCAGTCGCGACATTTACATCTCATCTATTTTCTTGCCTCTACGTAGAGAGGGTGCAGGGCAGCTAGTGTATACTGGAATCATATCCAATTTGCGTCACGAAAGCTTTCGCACGCAGTGCAGGCCACCTAGTCATCGGCTTCTAGCGTCGCATTGATGGATTTAAGCTTGTTGTGGTAGCTAGCAAAGTTTTCATCACTCGTGCGCCACGTGACTCCACTAAAAATAGACCTCCTCCACCACACCCCAACCCGCTAAGCTCTCTATCCTCGTACACCGCTGCTCCTCACCCTCCCAAGCCACGAAGAAATCGCCCTGAATATTTCCTCTCAGGACCTCACAATCTCATTGTCTTTATCCAGGATCACTTGGAAGCCGGAAACCCATTGGGTACCTTTGCACGTGCTATACTACTGTCTGAGAAACCTAACCGCCTCTGCGTAGGATAATCCGCATATAAGCGAGCTAGCCTTGCCTATCCTAGAGGAGGTTTGAGTGGTATAACCTGTGCTGCGGGTTGGTGGCCATGGAAAGAGATGTTCTACGCGAACTCGAAGGTCCTTCGCCGTCCCACATGCTCCCCGGTATGATGGTGACTTCAGGGTCGATGCTTGCCAGTGATTGCGGCGGCGACGCCCGGACCGACGGTGATGCCGCAGTCGGCGTTTGTGTTCCCTCATTTCCTTCCTCGGCTGGCACGATAGGGTCGTACGAGTCGTTCATACAAATGACGAGACCGTCACCCCTCCTCCGTTTGAATAAGCCATTCTTAAACCCCAGCGCCAAACACATGTTCGTAGGCCATCGTTTCCTAGCATTGACGTCGATCATATGAAAGAGCATCTCGGTCAACTGGCCTTCGTCTTCATCTTTCAGCCGCTTGAGGAGTAGCGTTGTCCAATCCGCAACCCAATCGTACCACTGCTCAGTCGTGATTGTTGCCTGCTTCTTTCTCGGTTGGGGAGAAGCTGGAAGCGTTGGGACGCCATATATCCATTCGAAAATGATGACACCTAAGGACCAAACGTCGACTTCGGGCCCGTGGCCGTCGCTGAGACCGGGGAACACCTCCGGTGCCGCGTACTTTAGAGTCCCGCAGAAAGTCTTCAGCAGGGTGGTATCGGGTACGACTTTAGACAAGCCGAAATCAGTGATGACGACCTGGAACGGCCTCAACTTGACCAAAAAGTTTTCGGGTTTCAGGTCGCGATGTGCCAACCCCTTTGCATGGAGGTGACTGAGACCGTCTAGAATCTGTCCTGCAGCACTGATACGTCTCTCATCGTCAACGACGAGGGCGTCCACCATGTTCCCATCGGGATAATATTCCATGACGATCATGGGTTCTGGTGCCTCTCGAAATTCAAACACCTGCATCACGTTGGCCTGCTCGACGATTAGCAGCGTGGTCGAAGCGGACACACTTGCAGCGTACTTACATGAGGGTTTTCCTTCATCAGAGTAAACTCTCTCCGTATCCCTATGAGCCACATGGGGTCGACTATCTCATCCAATTTCCTCTTTTTGTTGGCTGGCTTTTCGCCCAACTTCGTCGTTTTCTTATCGTTGGCTGGAGGTATGAATGTCTTGGCGGCGAGAACCTTCCCATCGCGTATCCTGATAACCTTGTGGACTTCGCCAAATCCACCTATTCCAAGAAGTTGGTCATGGAAGTAGATGGGCGTGTCATTGATGGTCCGGGGTTCCGTCGGCGCCTCTGTGGACGGCTCGCTGCTCAAGCCAAGTCCACTAACGGCCGCAAGGTCTTCCTTGCTCTTTTGGGCTGCTTCCTTGCACTTCCTGACGAATGTTCGCAAGTTTTCGACGTATTGAGGGTCTGCTGTTGTGTGGTTGACAAATTTAATCTCGACGGCAAGACTTCCCGAATGGATAGTGATCTCCCCGAAGGGATTCTCTTCGCCGGGCTCGAATGCCAGAATCCATGTCTCGCTTTTCCGCACCTCGTTTTGGTTCTGGCCGTTGTAGCCAACTGCGGACCCGTGCGCCGAATGGTAATCGTGCAGCCAGATGCAAAGGTTATCATCCACGGTAATGTTGCACTGCTTCGCGCTGACTCCTTTTGTCCCTCGGTGCCCCAGGAGGATATGAGACGAAATCGGGTTTGTGCCCAACTGTAGCCCGTTCTCAAAATTCTCATTCTCGAGCAGCTCATCGAAAGTCACAACGAGGCGGTCCACAACGCTGAGCTCTTCCTCGTCAGACTCCCCATCTTCGGAGGGAGTGGCCTGTCGGCTGTCAATGGTGGGCTTTATGGCGACGCCTCCAACTGACGGGCGGAACCACGTCGAGTTCTCCGGCAGCTTGAAGGCACTGTTCGCCTTGTTTTTCCCGTCATTGGCGGTCAGGACCGCGAAGACACTGTGGTCATACATGGTGTCAGGCAGTGATGAGAGTTTAGTGAGGAGAATATGAAAGCCAAGTAGCAGAGGAATGAACAGGACTGTACTCTCCAGTGTGTGGGACAATCCATGGCTGATATACCTGCCTCTGAGACGCGCTTGGATGGGAGAGGATTGTCTTGCATTAGCAACGGTCGGTAGTGGATTTGCACCCTACCAACCCATAACCGCGCTAAGCATATGCGAGTAGTTTAGCGTGTGACGGTGTAGCGACATCCCGTCCGCCGGAAAGAACCGCGCCATCACGTGAGTCTTACCCCAGCCCTGGATAAATGTCAAGTGTCGCGGCTGTCTCCTCCCTCTTCTCCTCTTCAAATTACCACGACACCATGACACCATAGCACCACATCACTACATCACCATAACACCACATCCCCACAACCACTTCGCAGCCACTGCGTGAACCACCGCGCCTTTCTTTATCCACCATGGGCATGAGTACTCCTGCTGAGAGCTCTCCTACAGAAGCTCATCTTAACGATTTGGCTATGCGTACTGTCCTCGAAGATTCTGGCGGTTTCATGTATGTGACGGCTCGCCAAACACAACTAAAATCGCAGACGCCGTGCTGACGCTTGCCTTTCGCGGACAGAATGGTCAAAATCCCAGATTTTGAGACACTATCGGAATCCGAGAGGATAACTATTTTCAAAAAAGCACAGTAAAGGCCTAGAAACAGCAATATGACTTTAGAGAGGCAAGCTAATGTTGTCCCTTAGAGAACTACAGAGGAAAAAGCCTTTCGGCGCTGATAATCTCGCATCAAGACTTCGGTTCGTCCAAGCACATCCTACATCTCTTCCATATACTAATGCTGTGACAACATAGGGATTTAACACCGCCGATAGACTCGGAGGAGGAGCTCGAGGAGGCTCGCGTCCTAGAGTTCCGAGCGCGGAAAGAACTGGAAGACGATGGCTGTCCTCCCTGCTACCCGCCCGACCTCGATTTTCCCTTGCGAAACCCTCCTAAGAAATATCAGGCGATAATACAGTACTGGAAATCGGTTAGCGATGTGGTGCTTTGCTACCAAAAATTGGACTGGGAGAAATTCCGCAGGCTTCAGGCGATGGTCCGCTGTCGAAACCGGCCCTTCAGCAAATTTGTGGACGAGGTTCGCGAACGTCGACAAAGGCATGGACTGGGTGGCGATGTCCGCCTTCTCTTGGATCTAGAGCGACAAAGTCGGCTAGACAATTGGATAGAGTTTCAGAACCGCCATCTTAAACGCCTTGAGCAGTTTGAAAAGGAACGAGACAGGTTAAAGCAAGAGTTGGATGATGCTCAAAAATTGGCTGGCGACAGGAACACCACACGTCCCAAAGTCGGACCAACGCGCGCAGAAGCCCTCAAGCGACGTCTGGAGGTAACTGAACGAGACCTGAAATGGCACCACGTTCTACTGCACTGGATCGAGCAGCGGCGACTAGCGATGGATCCAGGGCATCCGACACCCATTAAAGAAGATTATGAGGATCAGGATGCCGCACCAAAGGCCGTCCGAAGGACCTCCACTCGTGGACGCCCGATCAAGCAAATAAACGGCCCTTCGGTCCTCGGCCAGGTCAGGGTCACGAAGCCTAAGTCGAAGGAGCGGAACACACGGAACATGCAGACCCAGAAGCCCAAGGCTCCAGGACTCGAGCCTCCTATCCAGAACTTAGACGTCATCTTGCAGAGCAGCACTTCACAGGCGTCGAAGCGTCCCGAGACAAAGTCTCGGCATACTAAGATTGATAGGCCACTCCGCCAAATTCACCCACAGAGTGTGTCTAAGGCAAGTCGGTTCGCCGGTATCAGGGTGAAATCACCATTAGGCCCACGACGCCGTGGTGCCGAGAAAACCCAATCTCCAGACCTAGCACGCCGGCCGACGCCACAGCGAGCGCAGTCCGCACCTACCACCACACGAAGCGGACGGATATCAAGGCCGCCAACAAAACGGGCTCCTGGGAGCGGGGCTTTCGCTACGACTCCCCCCATACTGCCGTGATCGAGATTCACGGCGTAGGGGTGGGACCCTTGGGTGAACACATCGTAGTTGTACTTCTGCTGGGGCTCAACAGCCATGCGACGGACGGCGGGAGCGCCATCTGTCTCGGCGTTCTGACGTACGGCGTTGAGGGAGCCGAAGAGGTCGCTAAGTGCCAACCTGGTGAGGACGTTCGTGGGTGTCAGAGTGGCATAGACGAAACCCTCCATTTTGGCGACGCGTAGGCTCAGGTACCCTGACAGAATTCGTGAGACTGCTGCAGATTAAGTCAGCCTCTTCATGACCATATACGACAACGCAACGTAATTTTATTTTTTTCCCTGAAAGTTGGTGTGCATTTAGAGAATTACCTCCTAATATATACTGCCAAGTTTTGAATTATTTAGTTGACGTTGTGGCACACGGGCCATATTAAAGCGTCCCACGAATTCTGTCAAGGTGTCTGGGCTGTGGTGCAGGTCCCGATGAGGCACATGAGTGCACTACAAGGGTATAGTGGGACGCGATTCTGCAATTGGTCGGCCCTACCAACCGCCTGCACGCCACATTGGCACTCTGAGCCGCAATTATCCGGGGCCCCGCTCTAACAGTGCCGACGAGATGGGTGGATTATGGGTTCATCAGCTTCTGGAACCTAAATTATGAACCCAGTTGCCAGCATCTAGTAATATAATTGGTTAGTCACCGCGAGGAATATTTTGGCATAGCCCTTTCACCTTAAGCCACCATAGATTCCAGGAAGTTTGAACTCAACGCTTCATACCCAAGAGGGCTGGTTGCTCTATTCATTATACTTGGTCATGCAAGTCGTCAGTCACGAATTTTGGAGATGGTCGAGAATCTGCAGGTGAAAGCCTTCGAGCTGCAGCAGAAGTACGCCGTTGGTCAAGTTCGCGACATAGCTTTTCAAATCCCAGATCGCCTTGAGCGGTAAATTCACCAAGTCGTGTCCAAGTGTCAAAAAGGAAGGGCACGAAACGTTTGATGAGCGTCCTATCTAAACCGACCGGCTCCCGGGACCATCACAGTCCGCATACGAAGGAGCCCCAGGGTTCCATCATCTACAAGACGCTCCGCTATCATCTACAAGACGCTCCGCTATCATCTACAAGACGCTCCGCTATCATCTACAAGACGCTCCGCTAGAGCCCCATTACAATCTCTCTTCGCCCCAATGTCCCAATTTGAACTCATAGACAGGAGAAAGAGTGTAGACTATGCCAAAGACAGTGCACCGAGGCGTTCTTCGAAGTCAATATCATTCATCGTCAGCTCAGGGTAGTGAGCTGGCGGCTCCGCTGACTGTTCAACTGGCTGGGCTGGCTCCTTCGCTGGCTGCTCGACTGGCTAGGCTTGCTCCACGAGATCGACTGGCTCCTCTGGCTTCTTGAAATGGGCGTCTTTAATTGCCTGCAGATCATATTCATGATCGTGATTGTGTTGTGGTCATGCCACCCTAGCAGGTATGGGCAGCGTAAGATTGGCCCAGTGGGGTGACTTACTAGCTAGATATGAGCGGGTTGGAAAATCCAATGGGCCACTCTGAACATTCGAACTAACGGAAGATTGGTAAAAGCTTTCAGGCGGTACGTTCAACCTCCTGAATGGGCTAGAACGTAAGAGATGGATTGCAGGCTTCCAAAAAAAAAAAACGTCCTTGCTGAGCCGTGCCAAAACCGATTAGAAATATAGAGTCGAATGAAAGTTGCAAGGGAAGGGGATGAGTTGAGATGACCACTCAGGCGTTGGTGCCCAGGCGGCTCTGTGCCAGGGCGGATCATCATGCCAAGAAGACCGGTGCAAGCTAACTGCACGGTGGCCAGAACTTCACGCAATCTAACACGGAGCTTTTCTGCCAGGCGCCTACACACTTTTGTACTTCCTGGCCATCCGCCTCAAGGCCTCGCCTACTTCATTATTGTTAATGCTCGCCGAAAGCGTCATCGCCTTTCGCCCTTCGCCCTTCGCCCTTCGCCAATGTTCTCCACCACCGTTAGTTACCACTCTCCTGAAGGTGTGAAGGCACCTTGTGGGGTCGGGAGCTCTTGTTACATAGGCATTCTGGACGATAGCACCGTGCTCAAATACCCGCTCGTCAAGGGTAGAGGTTGGGAACATGTCGTTGCTGAAGAGAAAATGTACAGCATTCTCGGTCGCCATCCCAGGGTTCTTACGTGCTTTGGTCTCAACGAGCACGGTCTTCGACTCGAATTCGCGCCAAATGGAACTGTGAAGCGCTTCCTGGAGTTAAATGCGAAGTCGCTTTCAGCAAAGCAGAAAATTATTTGGTGTCGACAAACGGCCGAAGCTATCACGCATGCTCACTCGAGGTCCATTATTCATTGTAACATATCCACAGATAACCTTCTCCTAGATGGTAATCTGAACGTCAAGCTCTCAGATTTTCAAGGGCGTGTCGAGGATCCATTTACTGGATTAACGATTATTAACGGCTCCGCACTAGAGCCCGTTAAGTCATACCTTCCCCGTCCTTTTGGTCAGGATAATGAAAGGTTGGAAGCTAGCGATAAAATTCCCTACAAGTGCTAATATTTCGAACAGATCGGATATCTTTGCCCTTGGTTCCACATTCTACGAGATCATAACAGGACACGAGCCTTATCCCGAGCTGGACAGCTTTGATGACGAGGAAGAGATTAGAGGACGCTATGAGCGTGCTGAGTTCCCTGGCACGGACGCCGTTTTAGGTGGGGAGATTATCCGTAAATGCTGGGTTCAACTTTATCAAAATGCTGCTCAGTGCTTGGCAGAACTCGTGGCTTTAGAGCAGGACAGGCATAAAGCATAACGGCGTCAATTTTTCACTCAGACTGGGAGAGGAGCCTCCTATATAATCCTTCCAAACCGTTAAGCGAATGTGAAATTTTCCTCTTGTAGTTGAGCTATGGGACCGTACAGAACCACTTTCAGCGAAAGCAAACACGCATAGCCGTAAACTGCCCATTCTCCAATTGCCGCATCTATATCTCGTCAGCGAATGTGTCGTTAAAACCCATCAGTACACTTACCAAACTCAGGCGCCGTTGCTGGTCGCAGCGCAGTATGGGCAGTTGCTCGTACGATTGGTGCGGAGCCCCTGCTCCCTTTCAGGCCAAGGTCTAGCGCATGGAGGTGTATGCTGTGGATTGTCGACCTTATCCTCGCTTACGTGCTTCACTGCTCTCGGGCAATTCTGCCATCTTGTCTTTGTAACGAGGACTTCACACATATTGGAGATGAGTGTACTTCGGTAAGTGATGGATGCAGAGATCTGTTTGCAGTAGGAAAGGGGGTATGACAAGATACTTAGAAGTAATGGAGGTCAACGGGGAATCTTCAAGTAAACGAACTTGTCGGTTTGACTGTGTACATATATAAAAGCCACGCAAAGGTAGCTTGGTTGGTTTTCCTTGCACGGCTGCTGCCTAATTTGAGTCATATACGAAAGAGCCAATAGGGACTTCTCATCCTCTAAACAGACCAATTCACGAAGGTGGGGAAGCAATGCAACTGCTTCTGGAAACTAAATTTCCGAGCGGTAGCCAGCTTCTGGAAAACCGGACTTCTCCAGAGGTGGGTCGATAGCGGGGCCGCCCGGCTGCGCTGTAATCCGTCCCCTGAGACGCCACCAACTAGAGGCGCCCCATAAATATTAGAGGCGAATATGTTCCGTTTGTCAACTTCTGCAAACTAAATCATAAACCCAGTCGCCAGTATCTGACGCTGTCCGTATGCGAACGAAGCCATACGATTATCCCAGGCCAGCCAATGGTTTCAGGGATAAGGATCCTGCATACAAGCTCTGCAGCAGTGTTTTAACTAAATGCAGCTCTCAAGAATCGAAGGGGTACCAATTGAAGATTCACCTCGTTCTAGTGGTCGGGACTAGTGGTCGGGACTGTGATCCGCGATGCAAGCCATGGCGACGCCTCAGCAAGAGCGTCCCTACAGGGTCATTCAATTGAGCTACCCACCATGTCAGTACGATATCAGTATAATCTAAAATCTTCTAGTATCGATAGGGGAACGGACGGCACAGCTGCAACTCATGTCGTATCGATGTATATAAAGTAGGGCGGGTCTCTCTCGAAAAATGATACCATCAATCTCCTCTACATTCAGCTCCTTACTCTAATCTTACACTTCAGATCAGCATTACATTCCCGAAGCGCAGAGCAACAATGCCAGTCACATCCAAGCTCGTCACGGCAGCGCCCTCAAACGCTCGTGCCGCAACCACCCCTCCGAGTAGCCCAAGCCAACCGCTCTCTCGCCATGGGGAATCAGAGCAGCTTGTTGCCTTTGAATTGGCTGCACTCTTCAAGGACATCCTGAAGATAGCACAGGCGACGCAGGCAGTGCCGCCGCCTCCTCCTGAGGTTCAAGTGATTGAAGAGGAAAAGCAACCCAGAATCAGAGCTTCCAAGGTTGAATTCAAGCTGGTGAATGAGATGTATGCTCCCCGAAACTGATACTTGTACAAGCTAACGAAGTCTCTTCTATAGCTGGGATAGAGCGAAGTGCAAGTACAAGATCGTAGAGACATCAGAGTCAAGCGAAGATGACGAGTATGAAGAGTACTTGTTCATTGTGCGGCAGCAATTTGGTTCGTATCCCAGGTGTCTTCACATATTAGCAGGCTGACCCTGATCTAGACAAGAACAATAAATCCTTCAGTACATTCTTAGACATGAAGTCAGAAGAGTTAAGAGACATCTTACGGCTGTTGCTGAAAGATGTGAAAGCCGTCTGCCTTAGAGAAGACAAGCCAACCGTGAGTAGATCCTTCATGGACGCGGTCTTATTCTAATTTTACTTTCAGATTTCGCCACGCCTCTTGTTTAGCTTCCTTCCCCAGCTAAAAGCCTATCGGGAGAACAGTCTTTCCCCCGACTCAATCGGTGCCCAGCATCTTGATGTGCTTGTGGCTTTTCTTGAAAACCATTTCTCGTCTACAACCAAGAGTCTCCTGCCGCTTCTGGAGCATGGCGAAATCACCTTTAGCCTTCTTTGGGCCTTGTTCAAGCCAAACACACACATCTTCACAATCTGCGACGGCTCGGATCAACCAAGATGCCTCATATATGATTCAGGCGAGTTGAAGACCTCACTCTTGGGCGAAAAGCGCTTCGAACTTGATTGTCGCTATCTCGGCTGTGACGGGAAGGTCTTCGGCGAGGTGGCCACCACTCTTTCCATCTCGGAGTTTCGTTCAACGAGGAAAATTGCATCTCTCAATGCATTCCCGCTGATGTATCATGGGGCCGAAGCTGAGTTGAGGCAGAATCTTATTCGCAACGGGCGGAAGTTCATGTCTCTTGGAGGCATTTACCACTGTGATTGCGAAGGTTTCGGTTATTTCCGGACTGACGAAGGTCCGTTGAAATTTTCTACGAGGGGCCGCATTATGGTGGATGCGTTAGCGTTCAAAAACGCTAATCCCAACTATGGCAAGCCGCGAGTTGATGAGACGTCTCATCGAGGGTTTTACGCGATCGACTTCGATGCTGAAAGGAAGAAGATGCAGCAAGATAAGGTGAAGAGTAAGGGTATAGTTCCCGAAGAGATGGGAGACGAGGACCTCTTAATCTGTAACCCGACAGTCCTGGGCTTCAGTTTGGCGAATAAACAATGGGGTCAGACTTCCCTAACTCTCTTATCCAACGGATCGTATAACTAACAGCAACACCAATAGGCGAATTTCCCGTCGCCAATATCAAGGACATTAGATGGGATACCTTGGCATTCGAGTCGCTCGCAATCCCGGAGCAAAAGAAAGAGATGCTTCAAGCACTTGTGGAGGGCCATCAGTCTGAGTCAGGGCACGTCAAGTTTGATGACGTAATATCAGGAAAGGGACAAGGCCTGGTCTTACTGCTACAGTAGGTTTACTGCTCAGGCACAGACTATTTCAACGGACTAATTGTTTATTTCCAGTGGCTTGCCTGGGGTGGGAAAGACATTGACAGCTGAAGGAATTGCCGAGTTCCAGAAAAGGCCTCTCTATGTGGTTAGTCCCCTTGCGGAGTGGATTTGCATACTAGTCTAACCAAGGAAAGGCTTGCGCGGGAGACCTCAGTTTGGATCCGGCCGTTTTGGAAGCACGACTGTCTCCAATCCTTGATGTCGTTCGACGCTGGGGCGCTGTGCTCCTCCTCGATGAGGCTGATGTCTTCCTGGAACGACGATCGCCGTACAATCTCCAACACAACAGCTTAGTATCGGTCTTCCTGCGGCAGCTGGAGTATTTCCAAGGCGTCATGTTTCTCACAACAAACAGGGTTAGTACGTTCGACGAAGCTATGCAGAGTAGAGTACATCTTGCACTTAGGTATGACGACCTGAACGAAGCGGCAAGGGAGAAGGTGTGGAAAACGTTCCTACAACAAGCCGATGCTACTGCCAACATCTCTCCCAGAGATCTGAATAAACTTCAGGCTCATCGTTTCAACGGAAGACAGGTAAGGCAGTAATCGATCGAGAGTTTCTGAACGTGACGCTAACACCATGTTTCAGATCAAGAACACTGTATGGATTGGGTTTGCCTTGGCTAGGAACGCAGGAGAGAAGCTTGCATACGGGCACCTGGAAACCGCTGTCGAGGCAAACAGAGAGTTCGAACTTGATTTTAAAGGTGTTGGATCAACGGAGAATTTGACCTCGTATGTGTAGGGTCGCTTATGTACAGCACTCCGGTAAATACGTTTGGTAGATTATATAGCTGGTCACGCTGGTATTTATGCTCTCTCAAAATTGCAATGAAATCGACTGCAACGATAGTGTGTGAGTTGCTTGCGAGAATGGGGCGATCGTGTAGGCTGGCACGTCGATAAGCTGGAGGGTTGGTGAAACCGCTATGACGACATGAATCTACTTCGCCACACTCTGAGGCGCAGTGACCCTTTTAAGGAACAGCGTGATCTCTATGACTAAGCCTCGAGCGAGTTTCCCTTCACGCCTTCGCGACGCTGTGCACACGTCGCAATCTCAACAGGCCTTTCCTATCCATGGCTCAACTTTCAAAAAGTCAGCTTCAAGCTATCAAAGCTAATCCCATCAGGGATGAACTCGATTCGTTTCGCGATACGTTGAAGTCGACATTTCCCGACGCAAATGCTCAAGGAAGTCCGCTCTCTTTCGAGGGCCTCGCTGCCAATTCAGGTGGGCAGAATTCAACCGTGTGCGACTTGGCTAACCGATGCAGTTGGAAGAAGTCTATCTCTCAGACTCATAGGTATCCTACAGCTGCTTCCAGCTGCCTCTGCGTTATCTTTCGAACACGGCGGAAGCCCTCTCAGTGCGGACATTGCGTTATTGTATGCCCGTCTCTCATCGAATCAAACGGATTTCAGGCACACTACGCAGCTCGCGAAGGACGTCAACGACCGCGCAGAAGACCCCATAATATGGAGTGCCGTGCTCGACCTCATCGCGCGGACGAGACCTACCCTCCATCCGACAACCCCTCCTCAATCCGCCGCCTCCTTCGCCGCGTCATTCCAACAGACACCTTGGTCCTTCAACACGGGCAGTTTCGCGGACACATCTGACCTGAGGAAGGACGTCGATCCAATCCTGAAGGGCGAACTGGAGGGGAATCTCATCGTCGACCACCCTCACTTCTTCGACACATTCTTCGGCGGAGTCCCACAGCTCAGTGAGATGGCCGCAGCTGTGTTTGAGCGATGCAAGGAAGCGGAAACACCTCTACACACGGACGACACTGGATGGGCGGAGTGGCCGGAGGATTGTGCGGAGCCCGATGTGCTGCACTGGCTCCGTCACCACATCGACCAATTTCTCCAGTTTGCGAACGAACAAGGCTTCCAACCTCCGGCGCGTCGGCGGTGCTTTGCCACACCGAACAAGCCTATCCCCGGATCTGTCAGCAAACGGAAGCTGGACATTGGCATCATCTATGGCCGGCGGAACGAGACGTCCGACGATGGTGCTCCCTGCGACTGGTTCGACGTCCTCGTCCCAGGCGAGCTGAAGGGCAACCCGCGAGAGGATAACCACAGCAGCACCTGGTTCGATCTGTCTCGATATGCTCGCGAGATCTTTGCCGCGCAAGACACCCGACGATCGGTTACTGGCTTCACACTCTGCGGTTCTATCATGCGGCTCTGGGCATTCGACCGACTCGGAGCGGTCGCATCGCAGTCATTCGACATACATGAGAATGCGCTGATGTTTATATCCGCAGTCTTGGGATATCTGTGGATGGCTCCAAAGGACCTCGGGTTCGACCCTACCATCTGCGGGGAAAAGGGCAGCAAGTACATCGAAATCACGCGGAATGCACAACCGGAGCGATATCATCTAGATGATGTCATAAAGCGGCAGCGTTGTGTGGCAGGTCGAGCGACGAGCTGTTGGGAAGTCCACAATGCAGCCGGCCAGCCTTTTGTCGTCAAAGACTCCTGGGAATTTGAAGAGCGGCCGGAGGAGGGGCCTCTGCTCAAGAAGGTGACGGATGCAGGCGTGAAAAATGTGGCAGAGTATCACTATCACGAAATCGTTCACGATGAGGGTGCTGTTGTTGATGTCCGCAACAATTTGCGCAAAGGGCTCGGAGACGGGGACGGGAGGTATCCACTACGAGGACACCCAAACTCCCAACTACTCGCAGAATTCCCCAAGCCCGAAGCTCCGGCATCAGAGAGGCTTATGAGCGGTCGAGGCAGAAGCAACAGCATCACGCGAAAGAGGCGCTCCAACTCTCGTCATCAGTCCATGCGACCTCCAAAACGGTCATGTTCAGATTCTCCTACCAAAGGGAATAGCTCGCGGCGAAACCGAGTTCATCGTCGGCTAATAATGGGACGTGTTGGGAAGAGTATATACGATGCGAGCTCGCTGGTAGCCATGATAACCGGGATCTTGGGGGGGATAAAAGGTCAGTTTGGTTAGACAGGTCTCCGACTCTAGCTAACTGTGTCAGGACATGAATCATTGCTGGAAAGAAACGTCCTCCATCGCGATATATCGGTCGGAAACATCATGCTTGAGAAGGACGAAGACGACGGTTTCCTGATCGACCTCGACCTTGCCATCGAAATGGACCGCAAAGAGGCATCGGGCGCGCCGAGCAAGACCGGCACCAAGGTGTTCATGGCGATTGGTGCACTTTACGGCGAACACCACAATTTCATGCACGATTTGGAGTCGTTCTTCTGGGTGCTGTTCTGGCTTTGCGTACACTGGAACGGGCCTGACCAGAAGAGGAGCAGAACGGAATATGAGTCTTGGAACTACAAGGACACAGAGGAACTTGCAATGATAAAGAAGGGCACGGTGGATGAACAGGACAAGTTTGATAAGAAGGTGGACGATAATTTTACCGCCTACTGTAAGCCGTTGATCCCTTGCATAAAAGAACTACGCGAGGTCGTCTTCCCAGGTGGGAAGCGGTGGCGGGGGGAGGACCAAGGGCTGTATGTTCGGATGAAGGCAATACTCGAGAAGGCAAGGGAAAACCTAGTTCTAGTTGTAGCGTAATACTAAGTTCTTGTAGTATGAATGCAAACAAAGCTCAACAACTATATCTGAAAGCCTTGTATTGCTACTAGAGCTGAACAACGAAGATCGTCTTCTCCGTTTAGCAGATCTAGGCCTCGCAACAACCTGGTGTAGAGAGCTAATTCAAGCACCAAGCATGGCAGGTACTCGACCGTTCATGGCGATTGGTGCACTTTACGGCGAACACCACAACTTCATGCACGATTTGGAGTCGTTCTTCTGGGTGCTGTTCTGGCTTTGCGTACACTGGAACGGGCCTGACCAAAAGAGGAGCAGAACGGAATATGAGTCTTGGAATTACAAGGACACGAAGGAACTTGCGGAAATCAAAACGGGTAAGGTCCTTAAGGAAAACATGTTCGACATGGAAGTGAACGAGAACTTTACTCCTTCCTGCCGGCCGTTAATTCCTTGCATACAACAGCTGCGCAAGGTCGTGTTTCCGAGCGGTAAGAGTTGGGAAAGAGAGGACAGGGAGCTGTACGTTCGAATGAAGTTAATACTCGAGAAGGCAAGGGAAGAACTAGCTCTAGTCGTAGTATAGTACTATATACTTGTAGTGTAAATGGAAACAAAGCGCAACAGTGTCTGTACTTGGAAGCCTTGTAACCTACTGTATCGCGGTGGGTACCCCATGGTGTGGGTGCCCATGACGCTGGAGCATTGTAATTGCCAGCGTGAGCGTAATGACAAGTGTTCTAGAACAGAATGTGTGCTCGAACAAGTGTGCTAGAACAGAATGTATACTAGAACAGAATGTGTGCTAGAACAAGTGTGCTAGAACAGAATATGTGCTAGAACAAGTGTGCTAGAACAGAATACGTCCCAGGACAAGTGTTCTAGGACAGAATGTGTCCTAGAACAGATGGGCTAGAACAGAGTATGCTCTAGGACGAAATGTGTCCCAGACGAGAATCACGTGCGACACGAGTCAGCAGTGTCATTTGCGAACTCCAGGAGTTCGCAAATGGCAGAGTCACGTGCAGCATGAGTCAGCGCCATTTGCGATTACACTACTACTTGCTTGCAGGACCCATCGCACGACCGTATAGCCGTACGATTCTCATGGCCGTACAATTCTCATGGCCATTCTCATGGCCGTACGATTTTCATGGCCGTACGATCCCCATGCCCGTACGATCCTCATGACCGTACGATTCTCATGCCCGTACGATTCTCATGGCCGCAAAACGGTCGCACGTCCAAAATGATCGCACGAGCGGAACGATCGCACAATCCGCCTGCTCGTACGATCCATTACTGTAGCTCGCACGATCCATTAGTTCGCACGATCCACCTGCTTGCACGATCCGCCTACTCACACGATCCGCCTACTCACACGATCCGCCTACTCACACGATCCGCTTGCTCGTACGATCCACCTGCTTGCACGATTCCCCAGCTCGCACGCTTCTTACACACTTGGCGCCTTTTGGTCACCACTATCATCATCATAAATCCTATTGAGGGGCATCTGCAGAGAGACTTTATGTTGGGATGCCCCCACTAATCTCATATTGGACTAGCTCAATAGTAACAGCCAATCGGTTGTCACAAGGGATTAGTACCAGGTAGCGAGATCCTGTTCCTGCATGATTAGAGAACAGAAAGCGGGAGCAGAACGATGTCTAGAAAAAACTTGGGGTGGAGCTACAGTATTGTCTGCATTGCTTTCGGTCGAGGACGGGGCACCGCTAGGGGTGCGCGCTTGTCACCATAGTTGAGGGCTTCCTGGCTGTGGAATACGTTGCAAGTAACTCCGACATCAGGTTCCCTACTTTATGTAGAGAAGGAAGTCCCCTCGGGGCATCATATAAGAAATAGTTTGTTGGGATGCCCCCACTAATCTTATATTAGACTAGATGTGTTTATAAATAGACGCCCGGAAACTCAACCACTCAGAAAGCAAGGCACTTAAGTTACAAGGAGTCGCAGAATAATGACTACGAAATCATCTAACCGGGTCCACCGGCGCTGTGCGAACTCCTAGAGTCCGCAAATGGCAGGATCACGTGCGGAATAAGTCAGCAGTGTCATGTGCGGCAAAAGTCAGCAATTAGCACGCACAATTGTGGGATTCTCAGTGTTGATATTCAGGCACGTGATGTATAGGCACGTGATGTATAGGTTTATATACACGTGAAATGTAGATCTATACTAAGAGGTATTCCTACTATAGATCTAGTATAATTGGAGGCCGCACGGGCTTCACCTACGTGTATATAGCCTAGCTAGATTCCTACATAGAATCGACATCTTTTGTCCGTTTTGTTATCACGTGATCGGAAATATCACACAATCGGCATGATCAATTAACGATCCATTAGCTTGCACGATCCGCCTGTAGGCCGCCTCCCTTTCGGCAATATGGCTTTGATAGCATTCTTTGCTTATCTAAGCATCCCGTATGGGACGTTTCGGCAATGCCGCTTCTAATTCTAGTGACTCAGCCTTGGAAAGGAGCGCGTCCATTTACGCAGGCGTCCTGCAACCCCGTACGGGACTATAGAGCGTACGGCTCACGCAGGATCCTGAAAATATCGGTAGCCTGTGGTGCCGTAAGGGACTATAGCAGAATTCTGAAATGTTTTGGGCAATCTGTGTCCCCGTACGGGAGTATAGAGTGCAGGGGCAATAGGAATACTGAAAAATGTTGTCCCGGTACAGGATTATGGAGTGTAGGGCTCTTATTCACGCAGGAGCAAGCACGGGCACTCGAAAACCCCGTACGGGACCGCGTTCCCTCGTATTTTCTGTATTCGCCGCACACTTCCCGTACGGCACCGAGTGGGCGACGATATCCAGAAATAGAAGCGCGAACCAATCCCCTGCGGCGTCCAATCCCCTACGGGACCCAACCCCTTGCGGCGTCCAATCCCCTACGGGACCCAACCCCTTGCGGCGTCCAATCCCCTACGGGACCCAACCCCTTGCGGCGTCCAAACCCCTGTGGGATCCGATCCCCCACGGGATCCAATCCCTACGGGACGGGATTTTCCACTGTTTGCGCTCCGTGCGGGAGCCCGTGCGGGAACCAAGCCCGTGCGGGAACCAAGCCCGTGCGGGAACCATGCCCTGCACTCCATACTCCCGTACGGGAACGCGATTGCTAACGTTTTTTAGGATTCTGTTTCCTGTATTCTCATGACCCGATACTCCCGTACGGGACCGCACTCCCCTCTTGACTAAACCGCAGATGGGTATAACACTAGCCGCTGAACAGGATGAGTGCCCTAATAGGATTGGGCCGATTTAACTCTACACCAGACTCTCCCTGAGCTATTTAGGTAGCTGACCTGCCGTCGAATTTCCTAGTAGACGTGCATCACTATGCCCCCAATATTATGTTCCTAATATTACTCGAGCGGAGAAGCATAGAGGCAGGTCGTCTATACCAAGATCTATAGCCCACCCAAAGCGCATTATGTGAGGTTGAAAGGGTGCTTGAAGTAACTTACAAAGGTTACTCTTGCAGAAACTAGCAGCACGAGAATGTCGGGTTGGAGTCATTTGTGCCAGAACGGCCAGCCGCAATTTTAGTGGCTAGCCAATTTAAAAGGCCAGCCATTCTGAAAGGCTAGCCGATTTTGAAGAGGCCAGCCGACTTCGAAGAAGCCAGCCAATTCGAAAGGCTGCCTGAATTAAGAGGCCAGCCGCATTTAGGCGGGCCAGCCGAACGAAGAGGTCAGCCATTTGATTGCACCCCTTACTTCACAAGGATTCTTGATGTCCTTCCCAGCAGAACTTATTAGGGTGCAGAAGCCGGAGCCAAATTCAATCAAAGGCTAAATTGACTAAGTATGGTTTCTATTTATCGTCACTACTTTCAGTGTCTTCCGTACAGTGCCCTCTTTATCTAAACGTCACCCATGCCAAGATTAACACCGAGCACCGTTACCGGACCACATCATTGGTTGGCTAGACAGTAGCTAGCAGGGGTCGCTCATGTGGAAAATGGGACACTCGTCGCCTTGGCAGGTCTTGGCATATGTGGCCCATATCTGGGACAGCCTCAAACGGAACATGGAGCTACTATCTGTCTCCTAAGCCAGCATGCACTGCACCACAAACTTGTACTATATTTAGGGATGCTTATTTTTAGCAATGGGCGGCTTCCACTGACCTGGAATTTTGACCTTGGCGGGGACCAGCTTTGGAACCGTAATCTGAAAACTGGATCATAATACAACTCTATTCTCTGCGCATTCCGCTGCCTGTATCCAGTATACAGAATTCACTTCTAGTCCTTATATTATATCGCAGAGGTTGCGTGCATATAGCTAACGCCCGCCAATAATCTAGCATTCGCAGCTATGTCTTTAAAGCAGTCAATACGAATACTTGCGCAGTCAAAGTTAAAGCGAACCGCAAACGAAAATGCTCGGAAGCGATTAGAGACCCTTAATAATAAATTTCAAGAGTTATGGGAAGATTACGGTATAGACATATGGTTTATAGCACGACGTAACGGCCGATTCCATACCTACACCACTACAGATGAGCCTTCTCCAGGTCCAGAAACCCTTGTATGTCTCCCTTCTTCCATTCTTTTACAGATAATTAACCTCTACATAAAAGGAACGATGCTATCCCCCGCCAGTAAGGAAGACGGCGGCATTTTTCAACCAAACGGCTGATGGGCCAACGAAAGTCGTGACCCGACGCAGGTCAAGAAGGACCAAGCACGTGATAGCGAAACGTGCTCCTCCCATGTCAGACGCTAAGCCTCAACCTGCTGACTCCTCGCCGATGAAGCATATAAACACGGCAGGCACTTATAGGAATGGGAATAGGCATTGCTAGATTCAGTTTAAACCCAATATGCAAATTTCCTGCAGCAAGCGACTAAAGAGCGTACTAGTACCAACATGTTTCCTCCAATTCTGCAAACTTGTCCACCTTCAAGCTCCACGTACCCTTTTCCTCGCGGATGCTGTATTCTTCTTTCCAGCCTTTCCCACCCGTTCATCTCCGCGGTCTGATACTTCATTGATCCCTTTCTTGACGCTATCAATTTCGGTTTGCAATAGCCCAATAATGTCTCTTGTGTCTCCCCAATTCTCTTCCAGGTTATTAGCCCTATCGTCAAACTTCCCTAGCTGAGCCATAATATAGCGATTGGCCTTTTCAAGGCTATCAACTTTCCCCTCAAGACGGCTTAGTCTGCAGCTGAGTTGATTAGCCAAGGCACCCAGTCTCTCAATCGTCCCTAATGGAGTAAGTTAGAGCTTAAGAAGATTTGTTTGAAAGAATTACCTAGTTGACTGTATGGAGACGACATGTTCATCTTGTCAGCGCATGGTGAGAGCTTCCTGGCTCTTTCTTCCGCATCGGCCTCAATTCCCCCCCCATTATTCTCGTGCTCTGGCGTATCCTGCTTGCATTAGCAAACCATCGAACAGGTAGCAGGGAAGCAAGTATTACTTACCCACCCGGCTATGTCAACGACCTCATCGGAACCTGTAGAGTTGGCAGCAAGCGGTGTACCCTAGCTTCTATTAGCAGTATCTCACAAAGGATTTGACATTTCGAATATACCTCGGCCTGGTACAATGTAGGATCTTCAATTGTAGCGTTCGAATCACTCATTGTCGAAGATACTCCTTATGCAGCTGCTAGTTCGGTGTCTGATAAAAAGGAGGAAGAGTAGTGTGCCTGATGTACGCTTGGTTGAGAGGTATGGAGGCCTTTTATATCCTGCTCTCCTCTATTGCTCAGTGGGAGAGCTAAAAGTAGGCTCCGTCTCAACTGCGCCTCGGTCCACTGACTTAGAGGTGTTATAGATGCGCTATGGTATGGCTATGATAGGAGCCTGATCCCTCCCTACCCACATCCCGTTGCTGTGCTTCCGAGGGAGTGTTTCTGAATGACAAGGACTGGCGTCAGCCCCTTTCGCCGAGCCACTCCAAGATGGCAATATGGAGGCAACTGGTCAAGAGTGGCTTCACTCAAGCCCGGTTACGCGCCTTGACGCAGCTTCCTAGCTAGAGGTGTTTGCTGCCTACGGATCCCTTGAGCGCTAGCACACCTCAGGGGCACTTTCTCATGCAATCCGTGAGGCTGACTTCTGATTCATGGTGCGTATCCATAGCCTTCCCTCGCCAACACAAGGCTTGGGCGCTCCCAGATATTCATGCAAGCCTCTCCAGCTGCTGCTAAGGCATGCGGCGTTCTAATCTATTCCTGATCTCGTGTAGATCGGACGGCGACGCACCCAATAACGCTTATCAGCAGCTACGCCTCTACGCCATAGATTATAAGGCATCCATGCGAACCTCCTAGTGGTAACGCTGCCAGGGGCTGAGCATGTTTGGAACGGCGTTCCGCCCCTGATAAAGAACGTGATCCAAGTAAGTGGAAATATCTCAACCAACGATTGATCCCGGCGACGTCAAAGTGCAGGCAATGCTTGTGCTAAGGCACCGGGGCGAAGACTCGCGCCCTCATGCCGACGGTAAAACCATTACGTGGCTGAAGGTTCATGCGTATATTGTTGACTGCATCACTAATAACTGCATCACTAATCATGAGGGAGGTGACAGGATTCCTTCTCGCATGAGTTAACGATTGGCTCAGGGGGCTGAAAAAGGGGAGTGACGAGACTTCGCACTTTGCTCTGCCTTCCTTCGCTGCCACACCAACTCCATTAAGAAGTGATCCTCATGCGCACGCTCACGCCAGGAGGTGGCAGTGACGAAGCTAGATGTTGGGCGCCCGTGAATGGCTGAGTTAGGGGACAGGCTCTCGAGAGGATAAGATGACTGAGACAGGCTTCGCCGCCATGCCAACTCCTTTTAATAGTGACCTTCATGCGTAATTTCTGACGGAGGTGGCAGTGATGGAGTTGCATGTTAGGCGCTGTTGAATGGCTCAGGGGCAAGGCTGCTGATAATAGAAAACGAGGCTTTGCATTCCCTTACCGCACCAACTACTTCAAGAATTGTTCATGCGTACACCGTTGACTGGTCAGGAACAGGCGTCGTTTGACACGAGGGAGGTGGCAGTGATACAGCCCTTGCGATGGTTGGCTCGGAATGCTAGAGAAGGTGGAGAGCTGGAACAGACGTTGAGGTTAAACCGTGGCTTATGGTCTTCGGCGTGAATGAAATCTTGCTGTGCAGGCTCTGTATTTGTCGCCGCAGTGGACCCACCAGGGACAAGGCTTCCGCCAACTGATACAGCAGCATGTGACAAAGATAGAAGCTCTCGCAGTACTTAAAGCATGGTCAGCCCGCCCGAAGTCCAACTCCCAAGCACTCTTTCATTCCTCTCCCGCATCTGCAAGCACACCACAGCCTTCTGGCCTTACTCTTCTTCTCACACGCTAGTCTACCGTACAATATCCACAATGGTTATGACGAGCACTCAGTCCGCCTCCTCAAACCAAGCGTTTAACGAAAGCGGTTACCAAGATCCCGCTTCCCTTTTATTGCCACCGCCTCAAGACGTGCCCACAGATGCCAGTCTATCTTTATCCGCCGAGTCAGTGGAGCAGCCAGTGGAGAGGCTTGCTGAGCTACCAGCTCAGTCCCCGGAGCAGAGGACCAGCGATAGCGACCCCGGAGAAAGCCTCGATGCACCAGCCGAGCAGCCAGTCGAAGAATCAGCCAAAAAGCCAGCCGAAGATCCAGTCGAAGATCCAGTGGAGCGACCAGCCCAGCCGTCGGCTCACTGCCCCGAGCTGCCGTTGGACGATAGCGACCACGAAATACGTTATTACGCACTTCCGAATAAACAGTATCTCAAGGAGCCAGCCAAGCCAGCGGAGCTGGCAATGAATGATAGTGACCACGAAGAACGCCTTGACCCTCCGTCGTCTGGTAATGATGCTGTCGCCCCAGCTCTCGGAGAAGCTTCCACTAGCCAGTTTCGCCCACTGGCGCAAGCCAATACAAGCAAGCGAAGGGTGAAGGAGGATACCATCGCCATAGCTCTTAGAGGTTTCTCTACTGGCCAACTTCCCCCAGTAAAACCCCTAAAAAAAAGAGAGGCAAAGGAGAGGCGTTACAGTATTTGGGAGATCTTATGCTCAGGTGAAGAAGCTATGGATCCACACGCCGAGAAAGCGGTCACCCCAGCTCCGGAGGGTTCCTCTACTGGCCCACGTCACCCGGTGCAAAATCCGAAGCAGAAGATAGGGCACGAAGTTTTGGCGATATCATCGGATGAAGAAGCCTTGGACACTTCGGACGAAGAAACCTTGGGAACTGACCACCTCGATGAGGAGGATGTCGTCATCCCAGCTCTTGGAGATTCTTCTACTCAACGACTTCACCCAGTCATGAACCTAAAGAAGAGAAAGGCGACGGAGATGGCGCACAATTCTTGCAAAGTTTCTTCGGACGGAGAAGTCATGGACACTGACCACCTCGATGGCTTGCGCGCCGACCTTTTGCGCGAATTCAAATTTCAGAAGCGCAATCAAGGGGCAGAGACCTTCGGGAAATCGAAGAAGCTGAAACCATCCAATCCCCTGATAGCTCAGAGGGTAAGCCCAATCTATGTTCCAAGGAAGGACGGGTTAATCTAACATATACCAGGGCCGTGTGCCATGGAAACCTCATCAATGCCCACGCCACTCGAGGCGGCTACGGGTTCGAACCGGCGGCGGTCCCGCCGAGAACGAAAGGAACCAGAGGCCTTCGGACGTGTCAATTGGGCCAAGTACATAAGAAATAAAGACGAGAAGTTGGGGGATGACATAATGGTTGAGTGGATGAAGTTGCAGAGTCTAAAGTCGAACCTCTTTGACGAGATAACAGCATATCACTTTGCTAAGCCGGTACAGCGCTTCGAGGAAACATTGACGAAGGAGTTTAATCGGTCGTCCGAAAAAGGGACGGTGCCGCATGGAGTGGGTCAAACGCTATTGAAGAGTTGGGAGCCTGTTGAGCTACATATATCCCTTCAGGACAAAAACGCTAACATGGACACGGCTAGTCTGTTCGTGAGTATTTTGAAGGGGATAGCTGAGCGACAAAACTGTCTTCAGATGAAAAGGCTTACGAAGTAAGCATGGGACTAATTTATTGCGATATTTTTTGAATGAATTTCACTTTGCTGCCTTAGTTTGTCGTGACTATATGCTTATAACGGTAAGTCAGGGGTTTAAGGCTTAGCGTCTAGTGCGGAGAGCCATGGCAGCCAAAATGGGCCCCACGGTGCTGGCGAATCGTCAGCAAAGTGGTAACGCCAGCGTCCCAAGGGAGCCACGGGAGCCAAAATAACGCTATCAAAGACGTGGCGGCATTCAGATATCATTGTACGGAGTTGCAGATAATTGTGACGCGGACTGGTCGATTATAGGTGCCAAGCCGCGCGTTTTGGGTTGACCCAGCCACCGTGTCGCCGCGGCTGGATGCGGGCGGTCAGAACATCGCTGCAGGGACGAATTTCACAACCAACATCAGGTACTCCACAGTCTCATCTAGTAACGATGTAGGTCATCCTCCAAAGGTGAAGTATCGTTTGACTCTTGCAGCAATTTCGCTAACTCTTTGCAGTTATCGCAAACCGACGTCGGCCACCGCCGTCAATGTACACAAGCGTCTCCAACGGCCAGCCGACCTGACTCCTGATCGTAGATCTTTAAGATCCGAATTAATCGTTCGTCAACACGTTGACGCCTTCCACACCATCGTCGAACCTCGGATGTAGATAGAGCGCTCGAGGCCGATGATGACTTGATTACCGGAGGACCAGTCCAGGCAATTGAGGTAGTAGTCGTCAACGGGACCTGCTGCATCGACAACTCGCTCTGGTGCTGAAGGCACACAACGACGGAATTGTGCAGAAAGACCACCGGCCGGCTTGAGTGGGCAGTTGTATTGAGACTAGAGGTCAATGGGCTTCGAAGACTCGGGAGGGGCGGGCTTGAATGCGAGTATGCGAGTGTTGAGTGACAGACCACATGCTGACGCTCGTGATGACTGGTATGCAACTGCGTTTGGCGATGGCTTGATGTAGGCCTTGCCTTCCTCATCATCACCCGGACACAGGTCGAGGGATAGTGTGGCATTGTCTTTGGATCCGCGTCCACCAAGATCAAACAAGAACGGCTGAATCTCGCTTTTGCTTGAGATCGACTTGGGTCGCGGTTTGAGATCGAGCTTGTTGCCCACGTTCTAAATGGCGTCGCTAGCAGTCCATTGGGGATGAATCGATCGGCGACATTGTATGTAAGTTAATCCTGGACTTGCGCGATGAGGGCCAAGAAGAGTAGGCAGGCAATGGACCGAAAGTGGGCTATAGAGCATGGGCAAGCCTTACTTCATTGGTTGGCTAGACGGCAGGGATCGTTTACAGTTGAAAATTAGCCTAGTTCAACATACCTACGGTGGTCTATTAACGTGAAAAGTGCAACAATTCAAAATCGAAAATTGCAACCGAGAACCCCGCACCACCAGATTATTCCAGCAATAGATTCCTCCAACAATACAACGTTCTAATACTAACACATCATGCCAGGTAAATTGGAATCTTATCCTTCGTACAATAGCTAACAGTTTTCAAGCAGGACGCCCCAAGATAGACCTGGACCAGTACCAACTTGAGTTGATCGGCCTCTTTGCAAAGGCCTTAATTACGACCAGCTTGTTGTATACTTTGCGGAGGATTATAATATCCAAATTAGTCTTTGTACGTTGAAGAATCCGTTTAAGAGCTGGGGGATAAACCGTCGGTTGCCTACAGATGTAGAGGATAGGCTCAAGAACCGGATCCTGATCCTTTTCTTCAATCGAAAGCGAGGACTCTTACAAGTATCAAGTGTACAAGAAGAGAAATCACCTAAGGACGGGAGTATTACATCCTTGTACGGCCTTCGCAGCAGGCACTAAGTTTATAGAGGCGGAGCGTATGGAGGGGGCTGCGGAGGGGACTGCGGCGGGGCTCCGTGTAGCTACTTCCGCTTCTGTAGAAATCTATAACTACCCCACCTGCTTATTTCTCTGCACCGCTGCTACCTTATATACTAGGCTATTCTGGCAAACTTCAAATTCATCTGGGCTTGGTTGGTTAATCCCCCTCAGCGTAGAAGACTGCCTAAGCCCCTAAGCCATCCAGAAGCGGTCTCAGCGAGTAAACACTACTCGCTGAGACCGCTTCTGGATGGCTTAGGGGCTTGGGCGGTCTTCCACGCTGAGGGGGAGTAACCAACTAAGACTAGATGAATTTTGCTTTTTGTACGGTGAATTTGGCTTTTTTGTATAAAGAAAGATTAAGCTACAGCCCGGGTTCGAGCCCGGCGAAAGATTTCTTTTTGCTCTTTTTCTTTTTACTACTCTACCTTACTTCTATTGCAGTAACTTACTATTATCCTGCCACGTGCGTACGGCTAGGCAGCACCTAGCTAGTACCTTACCTAGCTACGTCCTCCTCTCTATATCTAGGTGTCTCTTTTCTACCTTCTACCTCCTACACCAACCTCCTACACCAACAAACCTACAACAACTATCGTACGATAGCAACTTACACGAACCCCAACGCCTATCATGGCCCAGCTACCACGAACGGTATCAACAACAACGGTAGTCACGAGGTCTACCGCCGCAACTACATGGCCGAGGCCAACCTGATTTTGCACAGCAGCCACCCAAATCAGGCTGCAGTCGCTCGACTCAATACGAACGCGGTTCCTGGCTTAAACGCCCACGGCGGTCTTCCAAACGTTGCGGCGTACGAGGTCGTGGCGGTGGTCGAGGCCGTGGTGCCCCAGCAATCACCGGAGGCCTTGCAGGAGGACAAGGTGGTCGTGGAGGTAGAGGTCGTGGCCGTGGAGGTGCTGGCGGCGGTGCTGGCGCCTAGGATCTCTATTCAATAGGTCTTGTACGAGGTATGAGCCTGTCAGGTACACATCTTTCTTAAACACGATGATGGTATCTTCCATCGTCCTAGGCTAGAATAGTTAGCCTAGGCAAATATCAACTCTATGAGAACTATATTGCTCTACTCTATGAATGCTAAGAGACTCTATAACTAATTGTACAGGTTGGTGGCGCGGGGTTCTTGGCTCGATTTTCAATTTTCGATTTTCAATTGGGGAGGGATATTGACACACCCCTTAATCACTCCACGCACACCCTTCCTCTTGACTGATCTTCTAATTGGCTGGAGCGGCTCGGAGCTTCGTCCGGAGCTCTATTCTCACGTGCATTTGCACGTGTAGCCTTTCTTATTCACTTAGCCGTACGTGAGCTCATACATGAGGCTATACAAATCGGCATAGCTATACAGCCTCTCTATTTTACAGTGCATTCTTTCCGATTTATATGGCCTTATATATAAGCTCACGTACGGCTGTATATACGGCTGCACGAATTGGAAAGAATGCGCCGTAGAACGGAGAGGCTCGAATATCTCATTGAGGAGCTGGAGTCCGAAGAGACCGGTCCATTCTCGTCGAATATTTGCACTATCTTGCGTACACTAGGAGTTGAAGAACCGCTAAATCGGTACCGTCGGTATCACGATTTGGTTAGAAGTTTGGCGTGCTCGGAAGATACTTCTTAGAGACTAGCGTTAGCCAGTGATGAAGAGACGGCATCGCCATTAAATACTGGACAACCAAAGAAACGGATGCGCACTGAAGGCAAATCCAAAGACAGTTTGCTACAACTGCCGGGGGGTGATGCTGGGGTGACTGGCCAATTACTCGGTATTAACTCCATTTCTATTCTAGTAGCTAGTTACTTATCCGTGCAAACTGTCCTATCCCATCACTTCACATATACTCTCTCCCGATCAATTCCCTCTACATCGTCAGTATTTGACGGCGGTGAGTCCCAAGTGTCAGGAATGGTGCTGCCCCGCGGAGAGTTGTTGTCGGCACGGGTTGTCGACAAGGTAGGATGGTTGCTCCGTAGCCGTATCTTTTCCGAGTTGCCGGGCTGTGGTGAGTGCTGATTGAGGATACATGGCCTAGCCGTGATGTCGTGCGAGGGTGAAAACCAGCGTGAAAGTTGGAACGCCCCGCCAATCAGCAGCGACACGCTAGCCTGACTCAGCAGTGCACCTTGTGAACTCCAGGAGGTCGCAAGACGCGCTGCTGGCGCGCGGGAGAAAGACCACGGACATGACAAGCTGGCTCAGCAGCTTGCGCGACTGCATCGGTGCGGCGCGGCGGTGCGGCGCGGTGGAGTTGGTAGAGTCGCCTGACAACTCCGGTTGAGCTGTGGTGGCCGCACGCTCTGGCGCAGGCTTGGCGTGGAACATTGTCCAGCCTCAACTCCGCCTGAATTTCGCGCTAGGCTTCGCGGCTTTTAACAAAAAGCACTCTCAATCGTGCGAGCCCTCCCAGAATCCCTCAATTGTTCAGGCCATCGGGCCAGCGGTTGGACGCCTATTGGCTAGCTCCCTAACCACAGCGAGCCGCAGCGAGCCGGAGCCAGGCAGCAGCCCATATCGCTGTTATCTCAGTTGTGTCGGTGCGCCCGGATATTTGAGTCCAGAATTTCTCGAGTAACTCGGTGTCAGCCTTGTCAACGGAAGGGTGAATCTTCTTAAGCTGGACTGGGCGAGTACGTATAAGAAACCGTACTGGACGGCTTAAATGGCCAATTAAGGGCGAAGCCATAGCGTCCTCTCGCCTCATAATCTGTGGGAACCGGGTGATCGCAAAAAGTGGATGATCGTAGGAAGTGGGTGATCGTAGGAAGTGGGTGTCGTAGGAAGTGGGTGGTCGTAGGAAGTGGGTGTCGTAGGAAGTGGGTGGTCGTAGGAAGTGGGTGGTTGTAGGAAGTGGGTAGGTGGTCGTAGGAAGCGGGCAGGTGGTCGTAGGAAGCGGGCGATGGCAAAGACGTAGAGGAAAGAGGAGAATTGAGCGATCGAGAGGATCGTGCGAATGCGAGGTTTGTGAGAGCGCGAGGTTCGCGAGAGCGTGAGGTTCGAGGAGCAAGGCTGTGAAGGATTCCTGCTAAGCCTCGTTCATCCGTATATCACGTGCAATGTGTCAGGGATTGAAGTTGGGCGGCAAATTCCGCCTGGGCAGACCCGCGACACGAACATCGCTTCCTCGCATGCTCCACCGCGCTACCATTTGATTCCTGTCGCCTCCAGCTCTACGGTGCTTGCCGGGATATCTTCGCTCGTCTGCATCCTTCTCCGAGAAATACCTTTTCGTGACGCTGGTGCCTTTTGTTATTTCGGTTCTACCACTGTAAGTTTATGGATCATAGTTTGAATGCAAACGCTAAACTCTAGTCACTAGAGCATCAATATTTGATTCGCGGTGAAAACTTTGTCGGCCGATATCCATCCATCGCATCAATAGCGCCATATGGTTGTTGTGCGGAAATGGGGCGAGGACCATATCAACAAGTCCCTCAAATAAATTGATTTAAACACTTGGCTCATTGGTGGCCTTGTGCTCCATCGTTCACCATTTCCATCCGATGAGGCAACCTGGAATGACGACGGCGATAATTCAAGCTACAACTTGACGGAAGCACCTATTCCGCTTTCCTCCACAACATCTCCCAACAGCCCGTACATTGAGCTGATCTATGAAGCTGGCCTCGGCAGTCTGGTCTATAGGAAATAGAGCAGTTTGTAAAAGCTGTCCTGGTGCGCTCCTCTTCGGGCTTAGCGGGGCTATACTTACCCTTTCGGGTATCGCTCTTCACCCCTTCAACCTCGCTGCTTTTAACTTCAGCAAAATGGCCCACGGCCCACCTGCTGACGTGTGGTCACTTGGCGTTATGGCCCTTAAGTGGCTGTACGGTATCCCAGCGCCCAGACAAACACAGAAAAGCATGTCATCGGACCAGTGGCGCTCTTGGGCCAAGACCTGGGTGGACGCGCTGACGGCTTGGTTGGATGACCAGGAGTCAGGAAAGGACGTTGACATGCTGCAGGGCATGCTGGTCTTGGACCAGACAAAGCGGCTGACGGCACGCAAGTGCCTGATGATGGGTTTCAAGAACCGCTTATTCGAGCGGCGGGCCGTCGACGGACTTGTCGAGTGCGTGGTGGACGGGGCAGAAGCCGCCGACGACTTGGCTGGCGGGGACGAGGCACCTGCACGCACACCGCAGGCGGATGCCGAAGACGACCCCGAGGCCACTATCATACTAAGTTGACTGGATAGTGGCGTGCCGTACAACAGCGGGGAATCAGTGTAACTACGTACCTTATCCGCCCACAAATCAGGCCAAATCTGCAATTGGTCACAATAGGCCGTTCTTAATTTTGGCTCTCCAAAGATCAAGGATTGTTACAACAGTAGATTTGAGTACAAAGAGAGAAACGCAAAGGAGATCCTTCAGACTCTTTATAGTCTTTGGCCCTTCATACAATTTTGTCCTGACCTCTCGCCCTCGCGCCAAGCACGGAGGTCAAGAGGTCAGGCGCACGTGCCACCTTTGGTCACGTGCCTTCCTTTCCTGCAGCTGCCCTTTAGCAGTACTGCCCATGCCTCCTTATCGTCCCATCGCGGGATGATATGCTTCCTGTCATTGGCTGGTCGTGTGGAGGTGTTCGTAACAGTCTAGCATAAGAGCGAAAAGTTTGGACTCACAAATAGGAACGCACGAGGGACACAAGGAAATAATCATTAAGCCGATAAGTACCAAAACCGTCCTTTCCACGCCATTTGCATATTTTAGTCCAACCTTTTGACCATCCGGTACAGTCCCTCCCTTGTAAGATCACCACTCAGCGGATTGTACAACGTCGGTTCTACATACAAATAGGTATCGTAATAACTTTGATATTCGGGCAGAGGATGCCCCTCAAGATCCACCGCCCTCCATTTCCAATAGTCTTTCAACACCTTCTTGCCTATTTCACGTATTTCAGGCACAAAGCGTTCTAGGTCCGTAACGGTCGCGCACAGCCGGTCAGAACTGTACTCAGGGCTTACGATGAAGCAGGGCTCGTCCAAGCAGGGGTCGTCCGCATATCCCGGTTGACCAACAGCTAGGATATATATCTAGCTAAACTTCAGTATTAAATCACAAGAGTTGTAAATGGTGGCTACCTGGGAGTAATTGTTTGGATCGAAACCCATTTTGGGAGGGGGAATATTTGGTGGATAGCGACCGTAGTTTGGCTGATTTGTGGCTTCTACTTTAATATAGTAGAAAGGAATCCAAGCTATTATTCCTATCAAAGGAGTAAGAGGAGGCATGAATGGCAGGGTTGTAGTGACGACAGGATCAACGCAGTAAAGGAAGCTTTTAGCACAGTGAGAATAATGAGCAAGGAAAGAGGCTTTATATGTATCCAAGGGCGGCTCGGTTCCAGCCTGTACGTGAACCGTCGAAAACAACTTTTGGTGCTGCCTGTGGTCGTAACGAGCGCTTTCGACATGCTTGTTTGCATGTCTTGAAGGGACCCAGGCACGCATCAAACGGTATGGACATGAGTTTTGCACCTGGAGGCCATGTTCCTGTGGTTGGCTGATTGAATGGCTTGCGGGGCCACGAGTGTGCTTGCGAAGAATAAGTCCTCAGCTGCCTATCAGGCAGGAGGCACACTAGAATTAGGTGGAAGATGCTGAGAGTGGTAGTGAGGCGTGAGGACGCTAAAGCGTATTATAGTGCCTCCGCGCTTGCCGGCACAACTACGGAAAGTCGGATGAAAGCGTCTGCCTTGGCACGTACGACATCTCCCCCAGCACTCGAAAGCTACCAACCCCACTATCCACAGGGCCGCACGAAAGACATTTTCCGTATAGTTTCATTTGCCTAAGTATTGAAGGGCACGAGACGTTTGATGACCCTGCGCAAAGGTCACATGGTAGACTTGGCTTGACCCCGCCAAAACACCTGGCTAGAACGCCTTTTCAGCTCGACAGCAAATCTTGCATCTGGTATCTAGTTCTGATACTGCGCAAAATTGTAAGTTATACCCTCTATATGATAACAGCGCTAAAAGGACATCCTATCTAGGCCGACCGACTTCGGCTGAAAAATCCCGAGACCATCACAACTTATTCCATCAAACTCCATCCCTCCATGCCAGAACACCTAGACGAACTCCAACTCTCCGAGGAGATTCAAAAGATAATACTAGTGGCGGGATTGTGGCTTAAAGAGAAGGGAAAATATGTGCCAGCTGAGGGGCAAGACCTTGATGAGTGCACTAACAGAACCGAGATGTCTGAGTATAAGGACTTGGCTCTGGGTTTGGTGAACGAGGTGCAGAAGCTGGTTGAGATGGTAATAAGCCCATTGAAGAGCTTTTGAACCGGTACTGACATATTGTAGCAACCAACCCGCTATCTTATACTAAAATCCCATTCTGGGGGGAAATGGCTGATCAACAAACGCGAACAAGTTCTTGTCGCTCTTTCAGAACCATCTCAAACCCTGTACATCACTGATGGTACTAATACAAAACCCTTTGGCCGTGCAACGGCTGTCTACTGCGCACCCAACAAGCGATGCTTTATTAGCGGTGGTCTTGAGTTCTTTATCATACATTAGGTGGTGGATTGGCTAGGAATTACTGTTGGCAGAATAGAGCTGGAGTGTCGACCCCGTAGTCTCATGAATTAAAGCATCCACTTGAGAACCGCCACCCGTCCAGGTGCCGAGGGTGCCGACGAGTAGACCAACGTCATACGGCTGAGAACCGTCACCCGTCCAGGTGTCGCAGGTGTCGCCGCGGGTATCTATGAGTGGACCAACGTCAAATAGGCCAACATCCGGCTGAGAAC